TCGGGGGGGGGGTCGTGGGGGGCATGGCGACGACGCGGCGACGAATGACGCGCGCGGGTGAACGTGGAAAGAATAAATGCGTCGGCGCGTGACAATATTGCGGCGCAGAGGTGCGAGCGATCACCACGATCTTCGCGGCATTGGGAGGTCGCAGATCTCGTCGCCGCCCGCGATGTGGAAGAGCTGTCGAGGCGTCGGTGGATCAACGGAGAGGACGTCCATGTCGTGGCGAACGCCATCCTTGACGACGTACATGGACGTCGGGGCGACGAATTCCAGAGCCGGATGCCAGATCCGTTGGTTCGCCGTGGTGCTATGAATTTGAATACCCGTACACACGGCGTAGTCAGCCTTGGAAACGTCGACGGTGCGCTCGATCAGGGCGTCGAGATCGCGTCGGATGACGCGATCGGCGAGACGCGTGACTTCGGCCAAGTCGTAACCGGCTTTGGGAATGTCATCCTTATCGACGGCTGATATGAGCCTCTTCTGCAGGATGGAGAATTCCGGATCGAGTTCATCGTACGCGTGCTCATCACACGTCATCTTACCCTCCTTGTACTGCTTGAACATCGGTTGGAGCTTCACCAGCGCCCCGCACGCGCACGACTGCCCGCGGCGTCCCGAGCGCATGATGCTCCCGACTCGACCCTCGGCATCGATCGCGATGTGCGGCATCGCGAAAAAGACGTATCGTTCCTTTCCCGTGATGTGATCGGTCGGCGAGTGGCTCAATCCCGCCCCCAACCCCGTCGTCCCCGCGGAGATGATGCCGCCTAAACCGTCTAAATCCATCGAGTATCCAAAAATGTCGTCGATCGCATTCTTCAACGGAAACGTAATCTCGTCTCGACACAGCGACGTGAGCGCGATCGAATTATCCGTCGTGAACTCAAATCTTCGCAACATCACCTCGGTTCGGAACAAAAAATCATCCATCCCGATCGCGCTTTCAAACTCCTTCGTGACGACGTCGCATCGCTCGCGCAGGTAACTCGCCCGATTGTGCTGGAGCTCCGGGTCGATGTCGTATCCACCGTACTCGTGAAATCTCGGTCCGTGCGGCGCGCTCGGCTGTCTGCTCGAGGACAGCGTGCGTCCCTGCGCCCCGTTCGCGCGCGCGGCGCCGGTGCGGACGCGCGCGCGCGCCGCCGCGTCGCCGTCGCCGCGCGCCGCGGTGGACGCGCGCGTCTCTCTCTCGCGCCGTCTCGCGTCCACCGCGGACGCGCGCGCGGGGGGGCTCGCGAACGCGCGCATGGTGCGTCCTCGCGCGCGCGCGGTCGAACGGCGCGCGCGGCGACGGGTGCGGCGCGACGACGGCTGGGCGAGGGTGGCCAAGGGGGGGGCGCGTGTGCGTGTGCGGAGGGATTTTGGTTGGATTACCGCCCGTCGGCGCGATAGACGTGGACGCGACCGCTGGCGGTGCCGGCGGCGACGTAGTTTAACGTTCTGTGACACGCCAAACGACTGGCGATGGCGGTCATGTGATCGGGAGAGGAGTACTTGGCCACGGAGGCGCCGGATTTGGGGTTGAAGATCTCGACGTGACGCTGCATCGAGCCGCAGAGGACGCCGTCGCCGGCGGCGGACCAGACGGCGCGAAAGGGGAGGACCCAGCGACCGGTTTGGTTGTTGTGCCTGATCAATGCCGATGGGTTGTTGACGTCCTGATCGGGGTTCCACACGCGCAGGGCGTCGTCGTAGCACGTCGTCAGGAGCGCGCCCGAGCCGTCGGGACACCAGTACGCGGCTTGGGAGGATTTACTGTGCGGGATTTCGTGCACCGCCTTGGCGTTCTTGGTCAATTTGCGAACGTCCCACACGCTCACGAGCTGGTTCGTCGACGTGGCGAACCGATTTTCGTTCCCGGGATCGATGTGCACGGTGTTGATTTTCTTCTCGTGAATGCTCAGGCTCTTTGCGGTGAACTTTCCGGCGCGAAGGTCTACTTGGTGCAAGTTACCCACGTTATCGCACACCAACGCGTTGTTCCCGTGTGAGAACTGATCACACGCCGAGAACTCGTCCTCTTCGGAGTACAGTGTTTCCGCGAACGATCCGGTTTGGGGATCGAGCACGCGAACCGCGCCGTCGTACGCGCACGTGAAGAGTTTGCCGCGAAGAGCTCCGTGCCCCCATTTACAGTGCGAGATGTAGTTCCCGTGTGCCTTGTAATACAGCACACCGTCGTCCACGACGTCATCGTCGTCTTCATCGTTCTCCTTTGCCTGCTTGTCGACGCGCCAGAGTCCGATGTGTCCCTCCTTGTCCCCAGACGCGACGAGCAGCATGGACTCGTCGTGTGAAAAATCCAAGTGCGTCACCCCCTTGGGCACGCACTTCGCGACGTCCTCCTCGCGCAAAGTCAGCTTATTTTTCACCATTTCTCGCACACTCGCGGTGATGCCTCGCGCTTTGGTCTCCACGAACGCGCCCATCTTCGTTCGCAACTCCTCCACGAAGGCGGCGTCCGTCTTTTCGCTGCCATTTTCGCTCTCGAGCTTCACCTCGCCGCTCGGCCGCGTCTTCACCGGCGGTTCCGCGTAAGAGCCGTCCGGTCTGTACGTCGCCCCGTCAGCCAACACCACACTCCCATCGCGTCGCTCGTACGCGACTCCACTCGCGAGTTCTGGCGCGATTTTCCTCGCTCTCGAGCTTCGTCTCGTCGGCTCCACCGGTTCCTTCGCCTCTCTCCTTCGCTTACTTCCGATCCCACGCGAGCTCGGCGCCGGTCCCTTCGCCCGACCCCCCACATCCGCGGACAACGTTGAGATGTTCAACGCCTCCATCCGAGCCTTATTTCGCTTGATCAACGCTTCGCGCTCACGCTCGAACGCCGTCAAACCGTCCTCGCCGACGTCGTCGTCATCCGCCGCAGCCTCCAGCTCCTCCTTGACGTTCTCCACCCCCCCTTCCGCCATCTCCGTCTTCACCGGGGTTTCATTCCGCGTTCGCGCGCTCGTCACGCGCGCTCGTTTCGCATCCATCGTCGGCACGTCGTCACCCGTCGGCGTCATCGTCGAGTTCGCCTTTGCGCTCGGGGACAAAATCTTTTGAACCGTCGCGAGGAAACCCATCGTCGTCGCTCGAGCGCGCCCCGCGCGACGCCCGATCGTCCTCGCGGCGAGGACGTGTGTCTCGATCGAGCGATGCGCGGTCGCGCGATCGTCCGCGCGCGCGGAGGTATCGCGCGCGGGCGACCGAGTGGCGATGACGTCGTCGCGTTTGAAAAAGCGCGTGATTCGCGAACGCGCTTGCGCGTCGTCACTCCGCATCGCCCGAGACGTCGTTCGCGGCGACGTCGAAGTGACGGACGAAGAAAAAATTCACGCGTCGTTTCGGACGATCGAGAGCGCGTTCGCGCGCCGGGGGGGGACGGGGTGGGTGTTTGAGCGCATGTCGGTGATTCGTGGCGGCGGTGGTGCGCGCGCGGTTTCATCGCGCGCGTCGGTGGTTCGATCGAGAGGGCGAAACGGGGAGTCGCGCGATGGTGCGCTCGGTCGATGCCGCGCAAAGACGGGAGAGAGAGATGGGACGGCGCCGCATTACAGCGTGATGATGGATGAAATTCTGAGTGCGTTTAGAGACGTCGAGCTCCGGGCGCACGTCGACGGTACGCTGGGCGCGGGTGGACACGCGCAGGCGATGATTCGGACGCATCCGGAGATGGAACACTTTATTGGCTTCGACGTCGACGCGTCGGCGCATGCGATCGCGCGACCGAGGTTGGAGCGCGCGAGGGAGGACGCGAGAGGCGGCGAGGCGGGCGCGTTAAAGGTGAGTCTCGTCGAGGCGAATTTCCGGCAGATGGCGCAGGCTTTGGAGGCGATGGGTGGGATTCACAGAGCGGGAATCGATGGGGTGGTTTTAGACCTCGGCGTGAGCTCGATGCACCTTGATCGTGCCGAGCGCGGGTTTTCGTTCATGAACGACGGACCGCTAGACATGCGCATGGGCCCGTCGGCAAAAACGAGCGCGGAGGAGATAGTCAACGCGTGGCCCGAGGAAGAGATTGGGCGGATTTTGAGAGATTACGGCGAAGAGCGACACTGGCGACTGTTGGCGAAGAGAATATGCGAACGAAGAGCGGCGAAGGCGATCACTACGACGCGAGAGCTGGTGGACGCGCTCGGAAACGTTCCAGGAAAGTGGGGATCGATTCATCCGGCGACGCGAACGTTTCAAGGGATTCGAATAGCTGTAAACGACGAGTTAGGGGCGGTCGAGGACGTGATTCCAGCCGCAATCGAAGCTCTAAGACCGGGCGGTCGATTGGCCATCATATCGTTTCACTCGTTGGAGGATTCAATTGTGAAGAAGAAGTTTCGGTTCTATGCGGGACAAGCGGAACCGTTGGGGGAGACGTTCAATCGGTACATGGACCAGCCAGAGAAACCACCAAAGGTTGTCAAGTTGATCACACGGAAACCCCTCGTGCCGAGTGTCGATGAGGTTGACGAGAACGTTCGAAGTCGATCCGCCAAGCTTCGAGTATGCGAAAAACTGTAGCAGTCATAGTGTTCGTTTGTTGTACCGGTAAGAGTATCAGAAGTAAATAAATTCGTCGCGTTGTTAAAAAAGTCTACTAGCCTCGTCGGCGCCCCAGGTTTTGTAGACGAACGCGGTAAAAAAAACTGTAAAATCTTGACGCGGCGAGCGCGTAATGTGAAAAGTGACGACGTGCACGTATGCCACATCTTAGTACTCGTCCATGCCTTCTTCATAACCAGTAGACAACGAAGAAGCGCCGACTTCGGCGTAGTCCTTTTCGAGAGCGGCCAAATCTTCGCGTGCTTCGGAGAACTCACCTTCTTCCATGCCTTCACCGACGTACCAGTGCACGAAAGCTCTCTTGGCATACATCAAGTCAAACTTGTGATCGAGTCGGGAGAACACCTCGGCGATGGCGGTGGAGTTGGAAATCATGCACACAGCACGCTGCACCTTGGCGAGATCACCGCCCGGAACGACAGTAGGCGGTTGGTAGTTGATACCGCACTTAAATCCGGTGGGGCACCAATCGACGAACTGAATCGTGCGTCGCGTCTTGATGCTCGCCACCGCCGCGTTGACATCCTTTGGCACGACGTCGCCGCGGTACATGAGACAGCATGCCATGTACTTACCGTGTCTCGGGTCACACTTGGCCATCATAGACGCCGGCTCGAACGCGGAGTTCGTGACCTCGGCGACCGAGAGCTGCTCGTGGTACGCCTTCTCGGCGGAGATCACCGGGGCGTACGAGGACAACATGAAGTGAATTCTCGGGTACGGTACCAAGTTGGTTTGGAATTCCGTGACGTCGACATTCAGCGCACCGTCGAATCGCAGAGACGCGGTCAAGCTTGAAATGACTTGCGCGATCAAGCGGTTCAAGTTGGTGTACGTCGGACGCTCGATGTCAAGAGATCTTCGGCAGATGTCATACACGGCTTCGTTGTCCAACATCACCGCCACGTCGGTGTGCTCAAGCAAAGCGTGCGTGGACAACACAGAGTTGTACGGCTCGACGACCGCGGTGGAGACTTGCGGCGATGGATAAATCGTGAAACCCAACTTGGACTTTTTGCCGTAATCCACGGACAAGCGCTCGAGCAAGAGGGATCCCAAACCGGAGCCGGTGCCACCGCCGACGGCGTTGAAGACCAAGAAGCCTTGCAAACCGGTGCAGTTATCGGCGAGCTTACGAATGCGATCGAGGGCAAGATCGACGATCTCCTTCCCGATCGTGTAGTGTCCGCGAGCGAAGTTGTTCGCCGCGTCCTCCTTACCGCTGATCAACTGCTCCGGGTGGAACAATTGTCGGTACGCGCCGGTACGCACCTCGTCGATAACCGTCGGTTCGAGGTCGAGGAAGATGCATCGCGGCACGTGCTTTCCAGCGCCCGTCTCAGAGAAAAAGGTGTTAAAAGCGTCGTCGGAGGCACCGATGGTCTTATCGCTCGGCATCTGCCCACTGCGTCGATCGAAACCGTACGACGCCAGAGTCAACGTCAGTCAACGCGTGCGCGCTATTTCGAGCCAGACCCACTCGAGCGTCCCGTCGCGACTCTTCTCTCCCATCGTCGCTCCCCGAGAGATCACGCGCGACGTGCGATCGTTCGCGCGCGCACGCACTCGGGCTGGATCCCGTGTTCGAGGCAGTACAGCTCCCAACACGAGTTCCCCGTTTGCACCCCCGCTTGACCGATGTGAATGGAGATCACCTCACGCATCTTCGTCTCTTCTCAGTGCGTCTTAAAACGTGAACGCGCGCGTCGTGTGCGTCCTTTACACTCTCTCTCGCGCGTCTCGCGCTCGAACGGGTCGGTCGGTGGGAATACGACGAGCGAGATGAGGTCGCTGCGACGCGTTCAGGTGTGACGATTCGTCTTCTGAATTTATCTCGAAATAGCCATCGCGCGCCGTCGCGAGCGAACAACGCGACGACCTCGACGCCGTCGACGCCGTCGACGGCCGAATCCACGAACACGACGGCGACCGCGGCGCGTCGGCGACGCCGCGCGCGCGCGGGCGCGCGCGCGAGACCGACGACGGCGGCGCGACGGCGATGCCGGCGATGCCACGGGCGACCGATCGATTCTCGAACGTCACCGCCACCGGCGCCGGCGCCGACGCCGACGCCGACGCCGGCGCGCGCGCGCACGCCGACGCGCGCGCGTGCACGCCGCGCGCGCGTCGCCACGACCTCGACGTCGGTGGCGTCGAACGCGTCGAGCGGACGACGGCGACGCGGCGCGCGGCGACGCGCCGTCCGGGCGAGACGCCGAGGGACGACGCGCCGACGTCGGCGCGTCCCACCGACGCGCGGGCGCGCGGGGCGTCGCGCGCGCGCGCGCGCGGTCGAGCGCGCGCGCGGGGCGACGGCGGCGGGGGATGATGGACGCGCGCGCGGCGGCGGACGCGGCGGCGCGCGGACGCGGACGCGGCGGAACGTCGCGGACAGCGCGCGACGACGCCTCGCGCGCGTCCACCGCTGCGCCGCTCGTGTCGAATGTCGCTCGAACGCGCGCGCGCGTCGCGCGCCGCGTCGTCCGCGGTGCATCGTTCGATCGTCCGGTTTCGCGTCGGCCGGCGCGAGACGCGAAAGATCGCGCCGCGTCGCATCCATCGACGCGCGCGGCCTCCACTGCGCGACGCGCGCGACGGTGCGCGCCGAACGTGATGCAGCGCGCATCGAGAGCCCCGTCGTCGGGCTTCGGCTCGTTAAACGCGGGTCCGAGCAAGGTGGGAAAGGCGATCCGAGGGATGGATTTCTATCGAAAAGTCCCGAGAGAATTCAGCGAGGGCACGCTCGGTGGATCGATCATCTCCATATTGAGCGCTGTACTGATGCTGTACTTATTCCTGAGTGAGCTCGGAAAGTACAGCACGTCGTCGTTCGAGACCAAGGTGGTGGTCGATAGAAGCGTCGACGGCGAACTGCTCAGGATCAATTTTAACTTGTCTTTCCCGGCGTTGTCGTGTGAGTTCGCGAGTGTGGACGTGGGGGATGCCCTTGGGTTGAACAGATTTAATCTCACGAAGACAGTCTTCAAGCGGGCGATCGACGCGGAGATGAACCCGATCGGGCCGCTGCAATGGGATCGCGCGGTGAAGGAAGTGCTCAAGGCGAGCGACGAGGAACACGAGCAAGCGGTGCGGAGGGTTGAGGAGCACAAGAAGGAGCTGGCGCTGCTGAAGGAGTCGAACTCGAAGGCGGCGGATGGGAAGGCGCACGTCGTGTACGAGATAGATGATCTGAATTCACTTCAGGCGATGGTGCACGATCCGACGCACGCGGTGGTGTTGGTGAATTTTTACGCGCCGTGGTGCCCGTGGTGCCAGAGGTTGGAGCCCGTGTACGAGGCCGCGGGTTTGTCCGTGCACGAAAAGTATCCGCCGGGAACGAAGCAGCGAGTTTTGTTCACCAAGATTGATTGCGTCGTGCACGAGAAGTTTTGCATGCAGCAAGTTGTCACGGGATACCCGACGATTCGCATCTTTACGCACGGGACGGATATATTGGTACACGACGGAAAGCGTGAGCACGCGTTCTACAAGGGCCCGCGCACGGTGGATGCGCTCACGCAATTTGTCGACACGCTCGTTCCTAAGCCCGAACCGGTCTCGCAGTCTAGCATTGAGGCGGCGCGCGAGGCTAATTTTAACTTGCAACTCCCGGCAAGCGTCGACGTGCAGAGACGAATCATGGGCCCGGGATGCGCCATCACCGGTTTCGTGCTCGTCAAGAAAGTTCCGGGACACCTTTGGATCAGTGCGTCATCTCCCGACCACTCTTTCCACGGACAGAACATGAACATGACGCACGTAGTCAATCACTTCTATTTTGGGCACCAGCTCAGCGACGACCGTCGGCGCTATCTCGAAAAATTTCACGCCGGAGAGAAGGCTGGTGACTGGCACGACAGACTTGCGGGACAAACATTCGTCTCGGAGTCCGCACACATCTCCCACGAGCACTACCTCCAAACGGTGCTGACGTCAATCGCTCCGCGCGGTCGCTTCGCGCTTCCGTTCAGCGTCTATGAGTACACACAACACGCACACGCCGTGCACGAGCCCTTGCCTAAGGCCAAGTTCCATTACCAACCAAGCCCGATGCAAATTGCCGTATCCGAGGAGCGCATGGCGTTTTATTCCTTCATCACCAGTCTCATGGCCATCATCGGAGGCGTGTACTCCGTCATGGGCATCGCCGACGGTGTCCTCTTCAATTCCATCGCCCTCGTTCGCAAGAAGCTCGAGCTCGGGAAACAAATTTAAACTAGCGTTTGGCACACGATACATACCGCACGTTGTTGTCAATCGAACTCGAGCGGCATAATCCGTCATCCATCGTGACTTGCGCACCGCTTCGCGCGCTCTTCCCACGTTCACCCTCCCTCACTCATGTCCACGCCCGACCCCAAGCGCCGGCGACTCGCCGAGCGCCCGCGCGCGGGCACGTGTGAGTTTGCCGACCGCATCGCTCGATGCGCCATTCACGCCCACCAAAGCGCTCTAAGATCCGCGAACGTCGATAAGGCACTCGTTCCGCTGCGAACTGTCTTGGCTGCGTTCGTCCTTCACGACGAACTACGCGACGAATTAACGTGCGTCGCGCTCGGCGTGGGCACGAAGACGTCCGGGAGGATGCGTAACGATGATGGTAAGCGCCTGTGCGACTGTCACGCCGAGGTGATGGCGAGAAGAGGGTTTAAGCGGTTCGTTCTCGAGGACGCGGCGCACGCGGCGGCGGGCGGGTTGGATGGAAAGATGTTTGAAGTGAACGAAGAAAAGACGGTGAAGCAAAGGAACGGAGTGAGTTTGCATTTATATGTGAGCTCGGCGCCGTGTGGGAACGCGTGCGTGCGACGGTGGGCGAAGGGGAAGAGACCGCGGAGGAGGGAGGAATTGGGGACGTCGAAGACGCCGAGCGAGTCGCACGAAAAGTTGTCAAGGAGTGCGGTTGATTCGGGGCAGGTTGGATTGTGCGTCAAAGTGATAAAGACGAGTAAGGATGAGGTCGTTGACGCGCATTTGGCGCGGATGATCGAGAAAGGAGAACTCGCAGTGGGCACGGCGCCTGCGTGTGGGCTGAGCGATGAATCATTGACGTGCAGCGATAAACTGTGTGTGTGGAACATCGTGGGATATCAAGGCGCGCTCGGTCGCGCGTACGTGCGAGATCCCGTGTACGTGAAGTCGATCACTGTGGGGAGAAAGTTCTCGGAACCGCACCTAGCGCGCGCGATGTGTTGTCGAGCGCACGGATTTCGTTCGGCGTGCGGCGTCTTTGAGACGACGCACCCGGCGCTCATGGAGACGGCCGTCGTGTTTGATAACGTTCCTATGGATGTGGACGAAGGCGCTGTTTTCGAGAACCCGTTCGCGCTCGTTTGGTACACCGGAAACGACGATATTTCGGAAGTTTTGAACGGCAAGACTGGGACATTTCTAGACGAAGCGAACGACAGCACGCCGTCGACATCCAGGGCGGCGCTCTTCAAACGGTTCAAGGAATTGCGCGGCGACGCGAGCGGCGAACCGTTTTCGCCAAAAGAGTACGCGAAAATGAAGCGCGAGGCGGATCCGAGGTACAACGAGGCGAAGACGTCCCTCTTTAAACATCCCAGGATGTTTGAGCCGAGACGCGGATGTGTCGGATGGCACGAAAAGAGACACCTGCGTTGGAGCGGATACAAACGGATAGAATCGATAGAATAGCTTTTATAGCAACACTAGATTAGGGCACAGCAGAGAAATCATACGTTCTCGTCGCGGGTCGATAGAACAAAAAGGAACCATCATCCGCGAAGCAACCCGGATTCATCAGAGAAGTCTCATCAAACTTTGCCGCGCACTGGGTCTCGCTTCGATCGCCCAAAAATATGAAGTTCGGTGCCGGATAGAGCCACAACGAGTGATCAAACTCCCAATATATCGGGCTTTGCGTCAGTGGTAGCGGGCACAGGTGCGCTTGCTGCACCAGCGTCGCGACGAGGTGTTGAAACACGGGCCACTCCTGCTTGTCGGTCAACTTGTCGTCGTCGGGAGGAATGAGGCAGTTCCGTCGCATCTTCGCCTGTAAATCGTCCCGGAAAAACACTAAGTCCTGCGAAAAGTACCTAATCTTCGCCGGATTGCTCGCGAACTGCGCGCGAGGAACCTTCTCGACGAAGGAACCGACAAGAGATTTTTGCAGAGCTGGTCGCGGGAGCGCCGCACTTAAGCCTGGGTCACCCGGACCTGGGACGAAGACGAACCGGCTCTCCTGGCGAAGCCGAGGGAAGTCTTGCAACATCTCCGCGAGCCTTTCGAACCCTTCGATGTACGCCTGAAAGTCGCAGTGCGTCGGTCCGAATGGCTGAGACGAGAAATCACCCATGAAGACCATCAAGCCTGGAACGTCGTCTTGTGCATCGAATAGCTCGAACATCTTTGCCAGCCGATCGAAAGTCCGCGGTTGATCGAGCCATACGTCCGAGAGTACGACAAATGCCTCTCCGACTCGCTCTTGCTCCTTCCGCTCAAGGTCCTCCACCTCGTACGGGCGAATCACGTGTCCGGCGCCGAAAAAGTCAATTGCACTCGTCGCTTCTCGCGTCGCAGCGCGCTTCTCGCTCGGCGGAAACGTCAGCTCAAGTACCTCGAACACTCCGTCTGGGCGAACTTCCCCGGCGGCTAATACGACACAATTTTCCGTGAAGAGCCCGATAGAGCGCTCGCACACCGTCAAATCGACCCGAATGGTCCCCGACAAATCCTCCATGTAAAATACTCCGTCCTCCAACTGACTCAGCAATCCCATGATGTACTTCTTCTCCTTGCTCACGCCGAGCAAAGAGTTGATCGTCGACAGCTCGGCCCCCTCCTCACGTCGCGTCCCCTTCAACGAAGATCGCGCGAACTGTCTCGACCGCGCCAGTCGCTGCTGCAACAGCAAGAACCGATCTCTATACAGGTCGATCTTACTCTCCGCCTGCCCGGCGGCGCGCGCGGCTCTGCGCGTCTCATCAAACGTCCGCCTCTGCGCGTCGTAAGCGTACCGCCGCGTCGCGTGCGCGTCACACACCGTTAGACCGTCGCTAGCGCTCGCTCGATCGGTCCCCGTCGCCCTCGCTTCATCGTCATCGACGTCGACGCCCACACCGACCACTGAGTCGTCCGCTCCGCGCTCCGCGAAAGCCCGCTCGATCACCTCAGCGCTCAGAGTCGAGCTCGTGTGCTCGACTTGACCGATAATCTTCAACACACGGTCGACGTCGTCCCTGTTCGGCGTCCCCGAGGCGCCGATTCGCGATAAAATGAGGCGGATCGCGTCCGAGGTGAGCGAAAAGCCGTGAAGTTTAAAACGCTCGTTGACGACGCGCGCGGCGTCGCGGTCGATCGGTTGGGCCACCATGACGACGACACGCGGTCGCGCGGTGGGTGCGAACCGCCGACGCGGGTCGAGAGTCGACGACGGGCGTCGGGAAGTGTGATTTGCAGGTCGAGCTGTCTTTGTGTTGAAAAAATTTCAAATTTTGGCAAATAAGCGGCGATGAGAGACGAAAGAATCGGACGTACGACAGTGGCGTTAGAGGTGGGCGTCGGCGACGCGCCACTGCTTGGACTCTTTGGTTTTTTCGTGCTTGGCGAGCCAGTCGGGGACGACCTGGCCGGCGTCCCGGGCGATCTTGCACAAAGCGGCAGTGCACGGCTTGTCGTAGTCGCAGTTCCAAAAGGTGACGGCAGCACCGAGCTCGCCGGCGCGACCCGTTCGGCCGATGCGGTGAACGTAAGACTCGACGTCACGAGCCATGTCGTAGTTGATGACGTGGGTGACGCCCTTGATATCCAAACCGCGAGCGGCGACGTCGGTGGCCATCATGAGCGGACACTTGTTGTCGATGAATTTGCGAAGCGACGCCTCGCGGTCGGCTTGGGATTTATCGCCGTGCACGGAGACGACGCCGAAGCCCTCGGCGCTGAACGTTTTCGCCAAGTTTTCCACCCTTCTCTTGGTGTTGGCGAAGATCACGACTCGTGAGTCGTCCGGGAGCTCGCAGATGAGGTTGTACAGGTGCTCATCCTTTTCGTGATCTCGCGCCTCGACGAAGCGTTGCGTGATCGCCTTGTTCGCCGCCAATTCTCCATCCTGCGCGCCCTCGCCGATAAAGACCTCTCTAACACGCGATTTGTCTTGGTTTAAATAACCAGCCGCGAGTTTTCTGACAGATTTGGGCCACGTCGCCGAGAAGAGCAAGGTTTGCCGACTCGCCGGCGTCGCGCCGAAAATAGTCTTTATCTGCGGCTCGAAACCCATGTCTAACATCCTATCCGCCTCGTCGAGGACGATCACGGACAGCTTCTCTAGAGACAAAACCCCTTCTTGGCTCATTAGATCCGTCAATCGACCCGGGGTGCCGATCACGATGCACGGTTTCTTCGACCGCAACGCGTTCTTTTGCTCGTACGCTGACGCGCCGCCGTACACGACGACGCTGTGAAACCCACGTTCGGCGCCGAACTTCTCGCACTCGGCCTGAATCTGAATCGCCAACTCTCGCGTCGGAGCGACGACCAAACCCTCGACGCCGCCGTGCTTTTTCATCCCGTGAAACGCCAACGTCTTACCCGAGCCCGTCTTCGCCACCGCGACGACATCCATCCCCGAACATGCCGCCGGCCACGCCGCTCTTTGAATCGGCGACGGAGACGAGAACGCATTCGACAATCTCGCCACGATCGCCGCCTCGAACGGCGTCGCATCGAACGTTTCGAATTGTTCTCGCGCGCCCGCGTCGCTCGCCGACGCGGCGTCCCCCGACGCCTTCACTCGCTTCTTCGCGTTCGCATCCTCCGATCCATCGCCCGATCGCTTCGACGACTCCTTGGATCTCTTCTCCTTCTTCTCCTTCTTCTCCTTCTTCTCCTTCTTCTCTCTCTTCTCCTTCTTCTCCTTCTTCTCTTCACCCATGACGCACACTTTGAGAAACGAAACGGCGGCGGCGCTGAATCGACGTCGACGCGACGATCTCTCCGATCCCACACCCTCGCGCGCGCGAATGAAAATACCTCGCGAATACCTCGCGCGCGAACGAGCGCGCGCCGACCCCGCGCGCGCGTCGCAGAGTGCGCCACACGTCGACGCGGTGCGAAGGACGAGGTAAAAATGCACGCCCGAGCGCCCTCGACCGCTCGTTCGCCGGTTCGTCTTCCGCACCGACGATCGAACCGCCCGACGCGCGGACGGTCGAACGTGGTCGTTCGAGCCGCGATCGGGACGCTGTACGACGTGCCGGTGTCGAACAACGGGGCGCGCGTGCGATTACTCGCGCGATGGCTCAACCTGTACGATGACATCAGCGTCGTCGATCCGAACAAGGAGTACGCGAAAGGGATCAAGGACCCGGGATACGGACGACTGAATCCGCAGTTGAAGATGCCGACGATGGTGCTGGCGTCGGGGACGGCGATTCCGGAGTCAGAGGTCATCTGCGGATATCTCAAGGATGTCGCCGAGCGGGACGCGCTGGAACGGACGACGCCGAAGACGGCAGAACAACGCGCGAACGCGGCGTTGGCGATCAGAATTCACGATGTGTACCTAGCACCGATTCAGGGCTCGATGTACCGCGGACCCATGGACCGGAAGACGCGCTCGGAACAAATCGCGGAGATCAAGAGGCAGCTCGACGTGCTGGAGGACGTGGCGGGACGCGACGCAGGCGATTTTATCGCGGGCGAGGTGCGATCGGGCGCCGATGCGGCGATTTTCCCGACGCTGATCTTTTGCGACTTCTTGCTTCCCAAATACTTTGGATGGAAGTCGGCGTTCGGGCCGAATCTGCGACGGGCGTACGACGCGACCAAGGCGGATGCCGACGGCGCGGCGGTCTTCGCCGAGGTCCACGGAGGTCTGGAGGCCTGGGAAAAGGCCGGGAGGTTTGAAAAAGTTGGCGTCATCGAGGACGTCGAGGATTCCAGCTTCGTTTGGGCGCATTAAATCGATTCAACGCTGTTTTTAATTACATGTACACACCGCGCGCTCGCGCTCTCATTGGAGGAGCCCCTCGCGCTCAGCATCAGTGCCACGACGAGCAGTGGTCTTCTTACGACCGATACACGCGTGTAAGATCGCGACAAAGGCCAGAGCACCGACAGCGTAGACGGCAATCATGTTTTGACTGAAGTAGTTACCCTCTCCCGCGGGGGCGATCATGGTGAATCCGACGCCCGGCGCCCAGTTGCTCTCAGTCCACAGGGGGGCTATACGTTCGTCGTCGTCCTTCGGCTCCTTTACGATCCATGACCCGTCGCGATGGTCGTACCCCAGTCTAGAAGATAGCGCTAAAATGTACCTAGGGGATGATTTGTGGCACGTCCCGGCGTTCGCGGTGTTCTTGCCGACGCAAACTTCGCCTTGACCTCTACATGAACCATCCAACTCGCACATTTTGCTTGTCGTGGACGACATGGATGTTGCCTCGGCGAGGTAACTCCAAACAAAACGCGCGAGCGTCTTCTTGTCGTTGTGCGCCTGAACACTCCTTGGAATACCGACCAAGACGTCCGGATAGCGTGACGGCTCATGTGTCGGGTCGACGTACCCATCACTGGCGATGTACTCACCCAACGTGCTCACCGTCTTTTCATTGATCAGCCGCAAGCCGCTCGAGCACTTATCGAGCCCGTATCTCTGATCGGCCAGACACTTGGAGAGCTCGATAACGGTCGCTCTGCCCGCGGCATCGTCAAAAGTGTTCGCCACGATGTCTCCATCGTGCGTGGCGTAGCTGCTATTGGTGTTCCTAAACGCATACGTCCCGATGAGTCGAGCGATGGAGCGCACCGCGTCACCCATGCGATCGACGTCGATGGATCGCGAGACCCCGACGTCCAGGTGCGTTCCGGAGAGCGGATCCGAGGCTTGATCTCGATCTTCGGAGATATACACGGCGTCGTACGCGAGCCCGCGCACGGACTCGAACGACGGCTCGGAGGAGTCGAGGATCTTTGCCATGCCTTTTTTGAAGGTGACATCGAATTCGTACGTGTCGGCGTACTGCGAGATTTTCTTACTCACCTCGTCAATGTGTGGACCGTGCACGAAAAGAGCTGGCATCTTACCCGCTTCGAACGAGTTCGACATCCCCATAGGACCGAGCTCGATGACGGCTCTAAGTTTTCTCCCGGCGAGCTCAGGAAGGAGCGACTCGGCCGCGTCCGCGGCTAATTCGCGCGCGAGGCGTTGTGAGCCAATGTTCCCAAAATCCTCTCCACTGAGTGCGACGAAAGCGACGTGATGCGCGAAATCATCTTCAGTCAGGGACGAAAACGCTTTTTGCAACGATTTGGCCACCGCCATGAGCGCGATGAGTCCGCTCATACGAGCGTTCGTGGCTGGCGTGGCGTCCCGGAAAACGCCGTCGGCGTCCATGCGAGCGACGACGAGCACGATGCTTTTCGTCGACGCCACGTCCCGGTTCAGCGGTGGCATGGTGGCGAGGACGCTGTACCCACCGACTGGCAAGCACGTGTTTGCCTTGAGACACGACTCGGACGACGGCGGAGCAATCGTTGGCTGTTTCCCGAGACTCGTCATGCGCATGTCCACCTCAGCGCGCCACATGTGCTTCTCTCCCTTGTTCTCTTGCATTGCCCGAGCGTTCGCCATCGCTCGAATCCTCGCCGCGTGCGTGCTCGAGGTGTCCAACAGCATCATGGGCGTCCCTCTGAAATCCATCTTCACCGCGTCAATCCCTCCCGTTCTGCCGCCAGTCGTGTTCGCTCGCGCCGCCGGTCCCAGAGAGAATCCCTTCAGCAACGCCTTATCCGCCTCCCCCGTCGGGTGCACGCTCTCCACTAGAACTCCTTTCACGTTCGCCCGAATCTCTCGCGCCATCTCGTCGTCTTTCACGTACGCCCGCTCGAGCACTTTCTGCCACGCCGCCGGCGTCGCCAGCAACACCCTCGGCGCGCGCGTCAGCGCGGTGAAATCCACATCCCCCAGCGGATCCACCCGCATCAACGGCGCGCGCTCCACTCGATCGTTCGAGCAGCCGCGGACGTCCCCTCGGACGTTCAAGCGCACGACGCACGGCGCTCCTCGCATCTTGGGGTTTAAAAACGCGCGCAAGTCGGCCCATCGACGAAAACTCGTCACGTTCGTCTCATCGCACTGTCGCGCGAGCGCGGGAGCGCACGCGCACGCGATGAAAACGACGCACGCGTGTAACGCGCGTTTTCCGATCGCGTCGCGTCGTCGCGACATCGCCGAGTGCGTCGTCGCGCGGTGATGTGACGCTCGCGCGCGCGGCGCGGGGTGTTGGTCCTCGGTATCGTTACACGCCGTCGCGTCTCGCGACGGTTCTCACGCCCCCCCCCCCTCGGCATCGCTCTGCGCCCGATCGCTTCGCGCGTTCAAACTCGCCGTCTCCCGCTCCGCGCGCTCGTTCTCCTCCTCCTTCAAGTTTTGCTCAAACTCGTACCGACTCGCGTCGACGCCGAACCACCGCGCGAGCGTCGCCTCGAGCTCCCAAAAACAATCCTTCCATCGCTGCACCCGCTTCTCCGACGCGCTCATGGAGGCGAAATCAACCTTCTTCACGACGTACGCGTCGTCGTCCGAGGATTCGAACCCATCGTGCGGCGTCGGGGCGGCGCGTTCGTCCGCGAGCGTCGTCGAGGCGTCCGTCTCGCGCGTCGTCGCCATGATGAATTCGATCGTAAATTCGCTCGCGCGCGCGACGCGAACGTCCACGCGCGGGTTTCACGCGATGCGAACGCGCGCGAACGTCGCGCGCGTCGACCGCGACGTCGCGCGCGGTGCTCGGCGCGCGCGTCGGGGCGTCGCGCGCGATCGAGTGCGACCATCCACAGATCCACCGATTGGGACCTCGGATGAGAACCGTCACACCGCGCGCCGCGATGATGTGCGCGTGCGCGTCGAGCGCGGCGGTGCGAGAGGCGGCGACGGGGGCGAGCGATGAAGAAAAATTCCACGACGCGCGCGAGGCGTTCGCGAGCGACGACGAGGGGTCGCCGACGCCGCGGTGGCGTCGATCGCGCGCGGGGTCCGAGGCGCGCGGCGCCGTGTGTACGAGCGCCGATGTGGATGGTGGAGCGACGACGCGGGCGCTCACGGGGGCGCAACCGCGTGAGGATTGGGAGGAGAGAGACGCAGACGTCCACGGCGAGCTCGAGCGGGCGTCGAGGGAGATGGAGATGGAATCGAGGGGGTCGGTGATGGCGCGCGCCCGGGCGTTCGCGAAGGCGTCGGCGCGCTTGGCGAAGACGATGCTCGGCGGACGCAGCGTGGATTTGACGTCGTTTCTCGGGACGCCGATTCGATGGTGCGCCCGGATGTCAGTGTTACAGATCACGACGGACGCCGAGAGCTCGCTCGGGAAGGACGTGGTGCCGCGGACGGTTCGGTTCTTGGAGACGCTGCGTTCGGCGAGAGAGGCGACGTCGGCTCGAGAGCGCGCGTGCCGCGTCGCGCTCGCGATTCTGGCCGACGGTGAACCGCCGGCGTCGTTAAGAAAACCGTTGAATCCGATTTTAGGGGAGACCACGTCGCATTCGGTGGAGTTTCCGCGGACGAACGAGAGGTTCGAGTCTACGTGGGAGCAGGTGTCGCACCATCCGCCGAATTCAGCCTCCTCGCAGACGGGCCCGGGCGTGCGAATCGTCAGCGAGGTTCGACCGTCGCCGCGTCTCGTCGGCGCGCATATCGACGTCGAGCTCGTCGGGTACATCGAAATTACGCTCACGGAGCGCAATGAGACGTACGTGAGCGACATACCGTCGTTCGAATGGCGATTTCTTCCGAGGTGGCACGCGCGAATGAAGAGAAAAGTAAAGTCGCAGATTCGATGCGAAGCGTCGGGGTATCGCGTCGAATTCTCCTACGGGTCGTCGCGCTCGGTGAAGGGCCTCGTGTACGGACCCGACGGCGCGATCGAGGCGACGATCAATGGGCGGTACGATGGGAAAATCGTCGCCGAATCGAAGCGTGACCGCTCCGTCATCGCCGCGTACGATTTCGCTCAAACGAAATCGATTCGAGCGCACGTCGTCCGCCACACTCACCTGGAAGATGAGTTCGACACCGAGGTCGTGTGGCGCGATTGCTTCGCCGCAATGGACGCAAATAAGTGGGACGATGCGAGAGCGGCGAAGCGTTCGGTGGAGGAACGCGAGCGCGCGAAGCGACGAGAGCGAAAGGCGAGTGGACAAAAATTTACTCCGCGCTTCTTTGATTACGACGCGCGCGTCGGGCGATGGGTTCGCAACTCGCGCGCGCGAACGACGTGATTATCGTACTTTTCGCCATCGGGTGGCCTCGGAGACGATATACTGCGCTTTCCTATAGTGTTCGCGAATGAAACACGGCATCTCATCCGGGGCACCGATCCTCTCAAATCCGCGTTTCTCCATCTCCTCCTTGAGCGTTATCCCGCACTTCTCCAAGCGTTCGTTCACGTCCGGCGTGTACTCGTCTAACCACGACCACGGCGTGACGAGGGCGACGATACCGTTGATCTTGACGACAGCCTCTAGTCCGTCCAATACGCGTCGCGGTCGCGGCACTCGACACAAAAGGTTCGCAACTAACACCACGTCAAATTTGCCCAAAGTCTGCGCGTCGCGCACCATCTCGCACGCGTCTCCGACGTGAAATTTCACCCTCCAAAACACCGCATCATCGCACGGTCGCACTAACGTTTTGTCCACCTCAGCGTCACCTTCCATCTTCACTCTCGCGACGATTTCACCCTTGTCGCGTATCTCCTTCGCCGCGTCGATGAGCGCTTTTGAGAAATCAAACCCGACGACTTCGCCGCATCCTAAACTCGCAAACTCGAACGCCGCCCCACCGCACGCGCACCCGACATCCAACACGCGACGCTTCGGCGCTAATTCCTCCCAATCCCGAGGAATACCATCCTCCCGCATGGACGAACCGAACGCCGCGTACCTCGCGCACCGCGCCGGGAACGCCAACGCGTCGACGGGCGCGTTCTCGTACCGCGCGAACCCCTCGATCGCGGGTCCGCGCCCCGTCGCGGCGCACGCCTGGACGACGGATTGTCCAAAGTGAAAGTCTAGATACGCGTTCACGCACTCGGGCGTCTCGTCTGCGGCGTCGACGCGTCAGTCTCTGAATCGTGCGTCGACGTCTCGATTCGCGCGCGTTCCGCGTTCGCCTCGCGACGCACACGTCGACGTCCGCGCGCGCGTGGGCATCCGCGTGCGCTCGGCGTTCTCGTCCATGCGCGTCCGCTGTCGTGGATTCGGACGGGCGACCGCGCGCGCGAGAGTGTGCGGACGCGTCCCGGCGCGTCGGCGTCGTCGCCGCGCCGACGCGTCGACGGTGAATCACCAACCAATCATCAATCGCGCCTCGCGCGCGCGCGAAACGGTTCGGCGACGAATGTCATCGCATCACCGAACGAGAACTCGTATCGACGCTTGAGCGTTTGACACGCGCGCGACATGACGAGGATGAGACAACTTCCGAGCAACGCCGGGTAGACGACGTACAACCACTGGAGGTTGTAATAGTGCGCGTCCATCGCCGCGAGGGCGACCGCGCCCGCGGGTGGGTGCAGCGCCCCCAGACGCATCATTATCACCAGGCTCAGCGAGAGCGAGAGCGATCGCGCGAGCCAGGTTGGTCCGAGGGCGTTTACGCAAAGAATCGAAACCGTCGCGCTCGCCGCCGTCGCCGCGACGACGTTCCACAACCTCAACGGCGGCGCGTCCAAGGTACCGAACGCCAATACGCCCAACGATCCCCAGGCACCGATCATGAACGGCGTCGCCGCGCCCACGACGCGCTTGACGACGTCGTCGCACACCCCCAACGCCGCGAACGTCGCCGCGCAAAACGCGAACCCAAACACCGCGTCCGAGAACGGGCGCGCGCCCACCCCTGGGGCGCGCTCCGTGGCCAGGGCGAGTCTACACGTCGAATCCCGAAGCACCGCGCGGACGCGCTCGCCCAGACCGCGCAGGCGCTCGTCGTCGTCCCCGGCTGTCGCGCGCGGTGGCGCTCGTGCGGTTCGCGCGAGAGGACGACCGTTCGTCTTCCGCCCGTACCCCGCGATCGCGCGCGCGGGCGCGCGCGACGCCCGCGCCGAGCGCATTATTTTTTCCCGTCCGTTCGAAGCGCGACGGCGCGCGCGCGCGGCGTCGACGCGTCCGCGGCGTCGCGCGATGTCGCGACGTTGAATCGACGCGACCTAAACCCTCAAGACGCGATCGCGCGCGGACGACCGCACGCGTCGACGCGAGACGTGCATGCGCGTGACGATGGCGCGCATCGAGCGGGCGATATTGTGTGCGTCCATGCGCGTCGATCGGGCGGCCGCGCTCGGGACGTCGGCGACGCGGGGGGCGATGCGGGGGCGGTGTGGGTTTTCGAGCGATGGACGGACGTGTCGCGTCGTCGGTCGACGCGCGCGGGGTCGAGACGGGACGTCGTGGGCGGACGCGGGCGGTGCGACGCGTCGTGCGTCGTCCGCGCGCGCGGAGGCGGGATCGGTGGGGGTCGAGCGCCTGGAGTGGCCGATGAGAGAACGCGGGGCGGGAACGCTGGGAGACGCCGACGTCGGGAGCGAGACGACGCTGTGCGGATGGATCGATAAATCGAGGAACATGGGTGGGATAGCGTTCGCGGACGTGCGAGACTCGAGTGGAATCGCGCAGATTGTGTTGGAGGAGGAGGCGAGCGCGGAGGTGCGAGAGGCGTTTCAGGCGTTGAGGCAGGAGTGCGTCGTGCGCGCGCGAGGGACGGTTCGGCGACGGAAGAGCGTGAATACGAAGACGAAGACGGGAACGGTGGAGGTCGTGGTGAGCGAATTGAAGATTTTAAATACCGTCGGTCGGTCGCTTCCGTTCGCCGTGAGTGAGTCGTCGGGGGAGAAGGAGGAGATTAAGGAGGAGACGCGCCTGGAGCATCGCGTGTTGGATTTGCGTCGACCGCAAATGGCGAGAAACTTGAAACTTCGTCACGACACCTTGCGAGCGCTCAGACGGGTTTTGGAGGATGATTATGGATTTTTAGAAGTCGAGACGCCGATGCTCACGCGGAGCACGCCGGAGGGGGCGCGGGACTACCTCGTCCCGAGTCGACTCCAACCCGGGGGGGCGTACGCGCTGCCGCAGTCGCCGCAGCTGTTCAAGCAAATGCTCATGGTGGCCGGCGTCGATCGGTACTACCAAGTCGCCCGATGCTTCCGCGACGAGGACTTGCGCGCTGATCGCCAGCCCGAGTTCACGCAGCTCGACATCGAGATGGCATTCATGGATGAAGACGGCGTCATGAAGCTCGCGGAGGATTTGATGCGCGCCGCGTTCAAGAATGGCGTCAACGTCGAGCTCCCAACGAGCTTCCCTAGGATGACGTACGCTGAGGCGATGGAGAAGTACGGGAGCGACAAACCCGATCTCCGCTACGGATTGGAGATGTCCACGCTCGACGACGCTCTGAACGGGTGCGAGTTTAAAATTTTTGCCGATGCCCTGGCGACGGGCGGCACCGTCAAGGCGCTGGTGGTGAACGACGAAAAGACGAAGATTCCGAACTCCAAACTCAAGCCTAAGGGTGATGTGTTCGAGGAAGCTGTCGCCGCAGGTGCCGGAGGTTTGGCGTTCGCGCGCGTCGGCGAAGACGGCGCCTCGCTCGAAGGTGCAAAGGGCTTGGTCGAGGGCACGGCGGCGCACGCCAAGGCGATGATCGACAAGTCTGGCGCCAAGCCAGGCGACTTAATGCTCTTTGCCGCTGGTAAGAAGGCGCTGGTGAACAAGACGCTCGATCGCGTGCGTCAATACGTTGCGAAAACGTACGGATTCGTCCCCGAGAACGCGCACGCCGTGTTGTGGGTCACCGAGTTCCCGATGTTTGAGTACAACGAAGACGAGGAGCGATACGAGGCGATGCACCACCCGTTCACGTCTCCCAACCAGGACGATTTGATGGCGAACCCGGACGATTTATCAAATGCACGTTCGATCGCGTACGATTTGGTGTACAACGGTGTGGAGATTGGTGGCGGTTCTTTGCGTATTTATCGCCGAGACATTCAAGAAAAGGTGTTCCGAGCCATTGGCTTGAGCGACGCCGAGGCGGAGGAAAAATTTGGCTATCTTCTCGAAGCGTTCCAGTACGGCGCGCCGCCGCACGGCGGGCTCGCGTTCGGGCTCGACCGGTTAGTGATGATGCTCGCGGGGGCGAAATCCATTCGCGACGTCATCGCATTCCCGAAGACGGCGGCCGGCCAGTGCTTGCTCACCGAAGCTCCGGGTCAGGTGAGCGCCGAGCAGTACGCCGACCTCCACATCAAATCCACCTCGCCACCGCCGAAAGAGTAGATCAGTCTTGTTAAAATAAAATGTTTCGCGTAATGTTACATCGCTCTCATTCGTCGCCGTCGATGATAATCGAGTGAACGCTCCGCAAAAACTGCGTTTCCGCGTTCACCGTCATGCGTCGTCGACGCTCCGAATCGAACCTAAAAAGTAATCCCCCCCCTAACGCAGCGGCAAAGCGCAGTACGCCGCCGTGATTGCGAATACGATAATCGCGCTCTTCGCGTTGAAATCGTTCACTTTATCCCGAATCTTCTGCGCGATTGTTTCGTCCTCGATTTTCTGCAAGCCGGCGCCCTCGACGTCCCAAACGCCAGCCTGCGCGATATTTCACAACCCGCTCTTCGCGCTTCCCACGAACCCGAGCGCGAAGAACAAAGGAATCGCGATCACCGCCCGCTCGATTCTCGACGCCCCCAGCGCGAGCTGCGCGATCGCCATCACCAGCGTGACGCCGCCGGCGACTTTGCCGACGTCCAACCTCCGCGCGCGTTCCTCGTCATCGATGTTCACCAGCTCTTCCCTCGCTCTCGCCCTTCGCGCCGCTCGCACGTCATCGCTCGGCGTCTCTCGCCCCGCCTCCGCGCGCACGTCGCGCTGGAACACGCCAAAGTAGATTGATTTTCCCGTCCCCGGCGCGTACATCTTCTCGAACGCCTCCTTCACCGCGTCCCGTCCCGTCGCGTCGTCCGCATCGCGCGCCGCCCGCGCGACGCGCGCTTTCCCACCCCCACGCCGCCCGCGCGCGCGCCCACGCGCCCGCGTCGACGCCGACGCGGACGAAATGGAAATCATGCGCGACTGCGACTGACGTCACTCTCGACCGCGTCGCGTCGCGCGCCATGCTCGCTCGGGCGCGCGCGCGCGCGCTGTGCGCGTGTGGATTCGCGCGCGCGCGCGTCGTCCACGCGCGACGGTGCCCGACGGGCGCGCGCGGACGACGGGCGCGATTACGGTCGACCGCCGCCACCGCGCTCGACGACGACGACGACGACGACGCGCGCGCCGTGGACGACGTCTCGACGCGCGCGCTGGGACCGCGGGCGAGCGCGACGACGTGGGTGTGGGCGTCGGAGGCGTACGACGTGCGCGGGGACGGTGAAGGGGGACGCGGCGCGCGGACGCGGGCGACGCGGGCGGGCGCGCTGAGCGTGGCGCCGATGATGGAGTACACCACGGCGCACTTCCGCGTGATGTGCCGATTGATGAGCGCGAAGACGTGGTTGTGGACGGAGATGGAGGTGGATCAGACGCTGACGCACGCGGTGCTGGAGGGAACGCGGGTGGATCGGTTTTTGGATTATCCGGTGGAGACGGCGGCGACGGTTTTGCAGTTGGGGGGGTCGGATCCGGAGATATTAGGACGCGCGACGGCGATAGCGGCGCCGTACGGGTACGAGGAGATCAATCTGAACAGTGGATGCCCGTCGCCGAAGGTTGCTGGGAAAGGGTGTTTCGGGGCGGCGCTCATGACGGAGCCCAGACTCGTGGCGGAGTGTCTGCAAGCGATGAACGAAAACGCGCCGAGCGGGACGCCGGTGAGCATCAAGTGTCGCATTGGCGTCGACGAGTGTGATTCGTACGATGCATTGTGCGAGTACGTCGACACGATCGTGCGAGCGAGCGCGACGCGGCGGTTTTACGTGCACGCGCGAAAGGCGTTGCTCAACGGTTTGTCGCCGGCGGAGAACAGGTCGGTGCCGCCGCTCAAGCACGAGTGGGCGTACGCCCTCGCTCGAGATTTTCCCGAGTGCGAGTTCCATCTGAATGGGGGATTAAAAACGTTAAAGGACGTTGAGAACGCGATCCATCGCGGGCCCGAGGGTGGGGGGCCGATCGCCGGCGTCATGATTGGTCGACAGGCGCACGCCGATCCATGGGGTCTCCTGAGCGCGGCAGACACGACTATCTTCGGCGAGAGCACCAATCCATGCGCGTCGCGACGGGACTTTTTAGAGAAGTACGTCGAGTACGCGGACGACACGATCGGTAGGTACGGGACGGCCAAGGATGGGTACCGAATCCCGAGCGTCAGACACATGATGCATCCAATTCAAAACTTGTTCCATGGGTGCGCGAATAACAAGATGTGGCGACGACTCGTCGATGAAGAGCTTCAAAAGAGATCTAAGAAGCCGGACACGACCGTTCGATCGATTTTGGAGGCCACGCTGGGGGTGATCGAGGATGAGGATCTCGACGCGCCGCCGCGGGCGGCGGGCATCGATGCGTTCGACGCCAATCGAGAGTGGGACTTACCGACAAAGGGAGGTGGGTATCGCGCTATGGACCAACGCGCCGTAGTACAACATTAGAACACGTAACCAAAACTGTATTTCTACGTAAAATTGAATTGTCTACCTACGTTTTCCGCTCATCTCGAGCAATGTCTCAGCGGCGGCGAGGCCGTCTACGGCGGCGGAGACGATGCCTCCGGCGTACCCCGCGCCTTCGCCGATTGGGTACATACCCGGCATCGACACCGACATGAGGGTCTCCTTTTCGCGATCGACACGAACTGGAGACGATGTACGCGCCTCCGGGGCGTGAATGAGCGCGTGCGGGCCGGCGAAACCGGGGAGCTGCTTGTTGAAACGGAACAGCGACTCTCGAATTGCCTGCGTGACCGCGGGTGGATACAACTCGTGTAACGGTGCCGTTTTCACACCGAGGCGATAAGAACTCGACGGTAACGTCGCCACGTCGGACACGGTTTCGTTCAAAAAGTCTTCAGCCGTTTGCACGGGCACGACGAGTCCGCCGCCGCCCATGACGGCGGCTTCGCGCTCGATGTGGCGCTGAAACGCGAAACCACACAGAGGTTCGTATCCGACTTCGGCGAACGGCGACGCGTCGGCCTCGGAGATCGAACTCACCAGTCCGCTGTTCGCCCACTTGCTCGAGCGTTTGCTGAAACTCATGCCGTTGATGCAGAGTTCGTCCTCTGTGGTGGACGTAGGGACAATTTGGCCCCCCGGACACATACAAAAGCTGTAACACGCTCGACCGGCGGCGATGCCGTCCTGCACTGTATTCGCGACGCGATAATCAGCCACGGGGAGCGGACCTTTTCCGTTGTCCACGTACCCAGCGTACTTGGATCCATATTGAAGCGTATCGAGCATTCCCTGCGGATGCTCGATGCGGAATCCGGCGGAGAACGATTGGTACGACAACTTCACACCGTCGAGATGAAGGGACTCCATGAGCGCTCGAGACGAGTGTCCGACCGCTAATATCACCGCCTTGCCGCGAATGACGTCACCGGAAGCCAGAGTCACTCCGCCTGCCGCGCCCGTGTTTGGGTCCCGATTGATTCGTTCGCATCGCTCACCGAAACGAAACTCCACCCCCAATCCCTGCATGTACCTCCGAGCCGTGCGCAAGATTCGCACGAGACGATCGGTCCCAAGGTGGGGCTTACCACTCACCAATATGTCATCGGGCGCCCCGAACGCGACGAGCGCTTGAAGCACGGCTCGGACACGTTCGCTGTTCCTCCCGATGCGCGTCGTCAACTTCCCATCCGACCACGTCCCCGCTCCGCCCTCGCCGTAACACAGATTACTCTCACCATTCAGTTGTCGTCTCGCAAACAAGGCGCCGATATCCCTCCCGCGCTCCTCCACCGGTTGTCCTCGCTCGACGACGACGACGCGCTCGCCCGCCTCCGCGAGCGCGAGCGCCGCGAACAAACCGGCGGGTCCGAGACCGACGACGATCACCTTATCGTCGTCGTCTGGGAACGTATCCGACGTCGATGTCGACGACGCGTCGTTACCGCGCGTCGGCGCGCGCTCGTACGCCTCTCTCAACGCCTCGGCGTTCGCCCCCAAACCGCCTTCCCGCTCGCCCGCCGCCCGCTCCAACTTCTTCGCCCGCTCCCTCAACGGCCGCGCGGTCCCTCCCGCGCTCGAAATCGCCTCATCGCTTACATCCACGACGTAACTAAACCCAGGACCGACCACGCGTCCTCTCACGACGGATCTCGCGTCGCACGTCTTCCGTCGCACCTCCGTCCCGCGCGCGAGCGCGTCCGCGTCTCCTCGAGTCCCGAGCAACTTTGCCAGCTGTTTCGTCAACGCCGGCGTGACCTCGTGCGAGTCCTTCCCAGGGTCCTCCTCCAGCGCCACGCGCACGTCGTAGACGCGCCAGCGATCGCCCGGGAGCGACGCCCTCGTGTCGGTGTTCACTTTTTGACCTCGAGGCGGCGGCGCGTTCGATGTCGACGTCTTCCCGCGCTTCTCCGCGCGCGGCCGTCGGTCTCGCGACTCGGCGGTCGCGACGACGCGCGCGCGTCGCCCGGCGCATCGCTCGTAGCGCATGGCGCCGCGCGCGCGTCGCGCCGCGTCGACGAATGCGATGCGCACCTTTTTCGAGTCATCACTCATCACGAGTCCCTCAGAACCGTTTCGAATGCGAATGCGTCGGCACACGCGCGCGCTCGAGCGTCATGCGCGCCGCCGTGACGTCGACGCGTCGCGCGCGACATCTCGCGTCCATCGTCCCTCGCGCGTTCGCCTCGAGCGCGGCGCCGGAGCCGTCGACGAGTGGACACGGCGCGCACGGCGGTACCAACGCGGTCGATCGCTTCGACTCGCATTCCCTCGTCAAGGCGCTCGTGCGCGCGGGATTCACGGAGACGCAGGCGGAGGGGGTGATCCGGAGCACCACCGATGCGATGACCCGCGCCGGGGTCGTCGGCCGAGGCGAGCTCGAGCGTGAGTTGATGTACGGCCGGGCGGAGACGCAGGCGCTCAAGGTTGAGTTGAGCGGGGCGATGCGCGAGGCGAGCGCGGGAATGCGACATCAGAGCGATCAGTTGGTGAGCGAGACGGAAAAGTTACGGGCGGATTTAAAGTATAACATTGAGAGGATCACGCAGTCGCAAAAGTTGGATTTGAATCTCGAAAAAGGACGCCTGCGCGAGCTGCACGGGATTCAAGAGTCGCAAATGAAGAGCGTCGAGGCGCGGGTCGATAAGGAGTTACATCAGATGCGCACGCAGATCGAGGCGGCGAAGACGGAGATCATTCGATACTCGGTCGGTACGCTCGTCTCCCTCGGCGCGCTCTCCCTCGCGGCGCTGCGTTTGTTCATGTAAACACCCGTTCAGTCGTTCGGTCGGGACGTCTATCCAGTGTCTAAAACGTCAAACAAAACGATTCCTGTCTTCACTTCGCGCGCGCGTCCGCGCCTCGACGCGCGCGCGCGAAGGCATCGATGGACGTTCACGATCCTCAAGACATCGCCCGCGCGCAGAACGAGCTCCTGCGCGAGGCGTTGGGACGAAGACCGCCGCCGCCGGCTGATGAAAACGATGCCGGCGAAAACCACTCGCTCGCGCCGTACGCGCGCACGGAACCGCGACGACGGGCGATAGCGCTCGAGGCGGCGCGCGTGACGTCGTCGGACGTGGTCTACGACCTGGGCAGCGGCGATGGCGCGGTGTTGATCGACGCGGCGGAGCGGTACGGATGCGCGTGCGTCGGACTCGAGCTCGACGCGAGCTTGGTGAAGACGAGCGAGGAAGAGGCGAAACGGCGAGGGGTGGATGATTTGGTCGCCGTGCGGCAGTGTGATTTAACGCGCGTGCGAGCGGAGACGTTGGCGCGTGGAATCGAGGATTTACCTCCGCCCACGGTGGCGTACGCGTGGCTCACGGGCGGCGGTCTGAGTCGATTTTCAAGTAAATTGCGCGAAGCCTGGGAGGTTGGTGATTTCAGGATAGTGACGTGCGTCGATTCCTTGGACGCGTGCGTGGATTTCGAGCGCGACGGCGCGTTCGCCGAGCACATCGATCGGGGTTGGGAGGTACACAGAGGGAAGGAGGCTGCGTTCGGCGTCTTCGTCGTGCCTCCCAAAAGCGTTTCTTTAGAGAAATGGGCGCGCGAAGAGCGCGCGTGTTGATAATTGTCGCGCGTTGTTTTGTTTCATCGTTGTTTTAGTTCGCGACCGGATTCGGTCTCGCGTTGTCATTGATTGTCGTCTTCGTCGGCTCCGCCCGCGCGCCGTCGCTCGCCTCGCGCCCGTCCCGCGGCGCGCACCGCACTGTACGACGCGCGTGATGTCCGGTCACGACGCCCACCTACAGCAGTTTCTCGAGGTACGCCGCGCGCGCGATCGTTCGCGCACGATGTCCCTGAGCGACGCGACGCGACGACGTGCGGCGACGGAATGTCTCGACAGATTCGACCCCACGTCGATCCGTGACGCGACCAAAACGACGACTGACGCGTACACACGGGCGCGCACAGGAGGAAAAACGCAAGGCGGTGTTCAACGAGGTCGTGGCAAAGCTCACGGAGACGTGCTTCGAGAAGTGCGTGACGTACGCGCCGGGATCGAAGTTTTCGTCGAGCGAGTCGTCGTGCCTCACGAATTGCGCGTTGCGTTACCTGGAGAGCGGGCAGGTCATCTTGGGGCGGTTACAAAACATGGGTCAGTGAAGACGTAGCGAGTGGTAGTGATTACATTTTTCGTCCTAGTAAAACGCTTCGCCACCGTCGCCACCGGCGTCGTGCTCGTCGTAGCCGTCGTCGTCGTCGAAGGTTCCGTTTCTGGCGTAGTCGTCGTCTGAGTCTAGGTCGTCGTCTTCCTCGAATCGGTTCTCCTCGTCGTCGTCCTCTTCGTCTTCGTTTCCGCTTCTTCTGGGACGTGGGTTCTTCGAGGTGGAACGATCGCGTCCACCGCGTCCGCTGTGTCGCTGTTCTGCGCGTCCCGCGCGCGTCGCTCGCTCGTCCTCGTCGTTCGCCATGGACTCCAGACGCGCCAAGCGCTCGAGCCTCGAGAGTCCATCGACGCCCCTCTTCGACGTCGTCGCCTGCGCCCCACCCGCATGACGTCCTCCATCGCTCACCCGCGCCCGCTTCGCCCCTCTCCTCGTCGGACTCCCCGGTCCGCTCTCGACGCCCTTTCGTTTGCCGCTCAGCGCGCTCGCGTCCGCGCCGAACGCCGCCTCCATGATCTCCCTCGGCACGATCGCCTCATCGCTCACCCGCATCTGCGCATCGTTCATCATGGCGTTCGCGATGATTTTCACCCACTTCACGTCGTCCACGTCGTCCTCGTCTTCGTCCGCATCCGACTCTTTGTCGCCGTCCCGGTCGCCGTCCCGGTCGCCCCACCGCGCGACGTCCCCTTCTCGCGCCCGTCGGTCCATGTCTCCGTCTCGTTCGCCGTGATGATGGACCGAGGAGCGAAAGAACGCCCGCATCGCCCGTCCGAGGCGCAGCGCCCGTCGTTCGTCGTCGCTCGGCGGTTTAAACGGCGTCATTCCGCGCGGGAGTGGTGGATACAGCGGCGCGGCTGCGAGACCTGCGCGGTCGCCGCGACGTCATGCGTCGCCGACGCGTCGCTCTCGTCGATCGGTGGGAACGGGATGTTCCCGGGGATGAGCTCGCTCGGTTTTTCGATCGCTTGTTCGGGTTTGACCTCGACTTGTTGCATCGCGAGTCGAGGTGTGCGGCGACGCGGGTGCGGTTCGCCGGGGCGCGGCGGCGCGCGAGCGAGTCGGTGAAGTGGGTTACATCGGCGCTATGGCGCGGGGGTGCGACGGTTTCTATGGGTCTACAGCGCGCTGGGGGCGCAGATTTTGACGTGGCTGTCGACGCGCTCGATGAGCTGGGCCTTGGTGCCGCCGGCGCTCAATCCGTGCGCGGCGCAAAAGTGCTTTAATGCTTCGCCAGTCATGGTGCTCAGGGCGTTTCGCTTGACGAGATCGATGCAGTGCACGTGCTCGGGGAGGATGTGCATGACGACCACGGAACGCTTAGCTCGAGTGCCTGCGTTTTCGATGGATTTACGCTTGTCGCCGACGACGGGGACGAGTACGTTGGGCGCGCCGACGCCGTGCCAATCGTCGATGGCTCGAGACGCGCCGAAACATTTGTCGTCGTAGTCAGCGAGGAGCGCGGGAACACCAACGCGCGCCCACTCGTCTAAAGCGGGTTCAGTGTCATCGTGCACGGGTTCCATCACGTTTCGCTCCAGCGCGCACATCTCCAAGACGCGGTAGTGCGTCTGCAGCGCCGGGTTGGGGGTTTGTTTCGGATGCCAACCCGTCAGGCGAATGGCCTCGACGACGTTTCGAGCGGCGTCGATTTGTTCTTTCGTCGCCCGAGGTGCGGGTTTCTTCACAGATCCCGCCACTGATTCGGGGTGCCGCAAGTCGTCTCGAAATGGGAGGTAAAACACGTGGAATCCCTCGGGCGGGTCCAAGCGCGCAATGGCGTCGTCGGCGTCGCCGAGTCCGGGTTCGACGTGCGGAGCGAGCTGCGGAAGAAGCGCGACGTATCGGAAGCCCGCGCTCTTCGCGCGCACGTACGCACATATCGCCACTTTATTTTCCACGTCGCACGCGCGTATGAGCGCGTTGACTGCGGCACAGCCCTTCTCCTCGCCCGCGATGAAGTGGGACTTTTTCAGGCACAAGTCGCGCGTGATCCTCTTCGCGTCGATGAACCCGACGAGGTGGAACCCCACCGCGCCTTTTTCATCCGGCATCCCCTTCACCTTGACCTGCTTTATCTTCGCCAGCTCTTTGTTCGTGAACACGAGCTCCTTCCCGTCGAACTCGACGAAGCTCTTCGTCGGTTTTTCAATCTGCGCACCCGTCGCGGCGTCCACGAATATCTGCTCCCTCCGAATCTCTCCGAGATCTTTCCCGTCCACGAGAATCGCCGAAGACTTCTTCGCCTCGCTCACGAGCGAGTACACACCGACTGGGATCGAAATCTTTCCCGGCACCAACCAGAGTTCGGTCTGTCTCAATCGTCTACGCTTGCGAGACTTTTTCAAAAATTCTCTCTGCAACTCCATGCCGTCGCGCACGACGACGAGCGCCCTCTCGCCCGCCTTCGCACCGCAGTGTTCGGCGGTGAACTTGTCGTAAAATATCGACGAATCAAACTCTCCATCTCGCGTCAGGCTCAAGACTTCGATGCTCTGCCCCAGCGCCGCCATCTCTTTCGCCCGAGCGATGAGTTTCGCCCCCGCGCTCCCGTCTCGCAGCGGTTTCGGCTCATTCGTAAACAGATACACCGTCTTACGCCCCGCTCGTCTCGGCGCGTGCTCCAACATGTGCGACGCCGTCCACAACCCCGCGGTCAACGCATCTTCCTGATTATACCGATCGCTCGTCGTCCCGCCCCCGCCGTCTTCCGTTTCGTCCAACGCGCCGAACGCGTCCCGAAACTTTCGCGCCCCTTTGTCGCCGTCCGCGTACTCGCTCAACACCATCGCCCCAGCCGCGCTCGGCGCATCGACACGCATGACCTCACACACCCTCGCCTGTCCCAATCCACCCAAAGTGTTCGCGCAGTTATACGCGCACACGCCCACCGCGTCGTCCGGCGCGACGACGACGCGCGCCCGGGCGAATTCAAAGCACGCGCGCGCCGCCGCCGTGAACGCGCTCGCCCCGCCATCGCGCGTCTCATCCCGAGTGAACATCCTCGGCGACGCATCGATGAGCATCACCACCGCGTCTCGCCCGTCGTCGGCGTCACGCACGCGGCGCCACGCGTCGTCATCCATCCCATCGAAGTCATCATCAAAGTCATCATCAAAGTCATCATCATCATCATCATCCTCGCGCATCCGTCCTCGCCCGCGCGCGTCTTCGCCCATCCACCCGCGTCTCACCGTCGATCGCGCGCGCGTCCGCGGCGTCGTCGATCGCGTGCGCGCGCGCGGTGCTGCGGACGCGCGTGCGATGGATGATGCGATTAATTAATTACACGCCGATGACGTCCACGCGAACGCACACCGCGACGCGTCGCCATGCGCGCGCTCGCCCAGCGCGCGCGCGTCGCCGCGCGCGAACCCGTGCGCGCGTGGACGCACCGGCCGCGATCGCGATCGACGACGCACGCGAAACGAAAGGGTTTCGCGGAATTCCTCCGCGTCGGTGGCGTCGACGCCGACGACGCGCGTTCGTGGTACAACGGACGACGCCCGCTGCGACCGGGCGCGCGGACGCCGATGCGACGCGTGCCGAGTGAAATCGCGCCCGTGCCGCCGTACGCGCGCGATGGACACCTCCCGGCGTACGACGACGGGACGTGGCAGCTGGCGACGACGGCGGCGGACCGAGAGGGGATGCGGGCGGCGGGACGGTTCGCGGCGGAGGTGCTGGACATGGCGGAGTTGATGATCGTCCCTGGGGTGACGACGACGGATGACATCGACGTCGCGGTGCACGAGATGATCGTCGCGCGCGGGGCGTATCCGAGTCCGTTGAATTACGGAGGTTTTCCGAAGAGCGTGTGCACGTCTCTGAACGAATGCATCTGTCACGGAATCCCCGACGATACGGTGATCGAGTCTGGGGATATTATTAATATCGATGTCACGGTGTATCTCAACGGCTATCACGGCGATACGTCGAGGACGATTATGTGCGGCGAGGTGACGGATGAGGTGCGAAGGCTGGTGGAGACGACGGAGCGGGCGCTGGACGCCGCGATCGCGGTGTGCGGGCCGAACGTGCCGGTGCGCAGAATCGGGGCGACGATTCACAAGATTGCGGACGAGGGCAAGTACGGGGTGGTGGAAAAGTTTGTCGGACACGGCGTCGGGAAGGTGTTTCACAGCGGACCGACGGTGAAGCACCATCGTAACAACGACCCGGGCGAGTTGAAGGTCGGCACCACGTTCACGATCGAGCCCATGTTGACCATCGGAACGACGAGGGACAAGATGTGGAAGGACGGGTGGACCAGCGTCACCGCGGACGGGAAGTGGACGGCGCAATGCGAGCACACGCTCCTCGTCACGGAGACGGGCGTGGAGATTCTCACCGCGTCGCCGCTTCGCGCCCAGCGCGCCGCCGACGCCGCCGCGAAGACCACCGCGTGAGCACACCATCACCGCCTTCCCCGACGCCGACGCCGACCGACGCCACCGACGCGCGTCACGCGCGCGCGACGTTTCAATTTTCATTTCATTCGTTCACCAGCGCGTCCCGCACACGTCCCCTCGCGACGATGTCCACCCCCGACGCCTCGCCCACGGACGACGACGCCGACGCCGTCGCGACGTGCGACGCCGCGCGCGGTCTCCCTCGACACCGCGCCCGCGCGCTCGCCGATCGTCTCTACTTTCTCGGATTCTTCGCCCTCCCGTGGCTGTGGGTGTTGAACGCGTGGACGTTCGCCCCGCACGTGGACCCGCGCTCGGCGACGTCCGTGGACCCGCACGTCGCCAAGCGCGCGCGGGCCTCGCGCGCGCTCGCCGTGGGCGCGTCGGTGGTGATCGCGACGTGGGCGCTGACGTTTTACCTCGGCGGCGCGTCGCTCTTCGGCGTTCGAGCGTTCGAGCGTTTGGCGGTGACGACGGCGCGGTGGTGACGACGGCGCGACGGCGCGACGCGTTTGGTGGTCGATCGCGCGTCGCGGGGCGCGGGACGAGGCGAACGAGCGACGTGGACGCGGACGTCGCGGAGATCGGGACGGGCGGGCGCGACGGACGCGGCGCCAGAGCGCGCCGGGCGACGCGGGCGCTGACGCGGGCGCGACTCGGCGTGGAGGACGTCGAGGACGTGGACGACGTCGACGCGGGGATGGAGGCGATTCTCGCGGCGATGCGCGCGGCGCAAGGGGTGGAGGGGATTTCAGAGGGGAACGCGTCGGATGACGAAACGCGCGACGACGCGACGACGACGCCCGCGGGCGAGGCGGGGAGGCACCGGGCGATGCAGACGGTGTGCGCGGAGTTCGCCGCGAGCGCGGGGGCGTGGTTGGGGGGACGGTGGTATCAACACTTTGAGTCTTGGTTGTACAGCCGTCGGGGCGGAGACGCCGACGCCGACGCGTTCCCTCGCGGCGAAGACGCCGAGCGCGATGCGGTGCTCGCGCGGAAATTACGAGCGAGCGGTGCGTCGGATGGCGAGGCGACGCGGATATGTCGACGGTTGGCCAAGGCGAGTGAAAACGCGCGACGAGCGGCGGCGAGCGCGGAGGCCTCGACGCGTTTCAACGCAAAGGCCAACAGAGTGCGCCGCAGAGAGTTCGAGGTCGGCGGAGACAAGGGCGTTCGAAAGGTGGAATTGTCGTGCGGGAAGGTGAAGTTGGAGGTGAACGCGCGGCATTACGCGGGATTGCGACGACGGTTCGAGGGACGCGCGGACGACGAAGCGTTCCATCGAGCGGCGTTTTGTCTTCTGGCTCGATATGCGTGTTTGCAGGGAACGCATTACAAGGCTGGAAACATGCAGGCTGCTGTTCCGACGGGAGTTTTGGACGTACTGCGAGGGAAATTCGGCGTGCGTTGCGAGATGTTTGCGTCGCCGCTGAACGCGTACCTGGAAGAATACTGCTCCGCTGTGCCCGCGACGGATCGACAGTTTGGAAGTCTCGGATCGGCGTTTGATTATGAACCCGAAGAGGGGTCGTTCGAGTGCAACCCCCCGTTTGATGAGGAGTTCATCTCGCGATTGGCGGGACACCTCGAGCGATTGCTGGCGAAGAATAGTAAGAAGCCACTGTCGTTCTGCGTGATCGTCCCGAAGTGGCTGGAGAGCCGTGGATGGAAGCGAATGGCGAAGAGTGTGTATTGTACCTCGAACACATCGCTCGAGGCAAAGGAGCACGCTTTTATCAGCGGCGCGCAACACTCGCGCGTGGATCAGATGACGGCGTCCGCCGCGGCGACTAGCGTCATCTTCTTGCAAAATAGAGCGGGCGAGCGCAAGTGGCCCGTCACCGCCGACGCGATCGACATGATTCGAGCCGCGTTCTCACCAATAAAGAGTCATACGCCTCGCGACGTGGAAAAATGGGATCCGGACGCTCCGCTCGGGTTAGGAACAAACACCCGGCGACTTCCGGCGGGATCGAAGAGTTGGGTGTACGCGTCGAAGCGACAGTCACCCGCGGACGAAACCGTCGAGACGCCGGCGAAGAAGAAAAAGAAGTCGAAAAAAGTCGCGAATGGCGCGATTTCGGCTGATTTTTTCCGTGACTGATCGCTTTGTTGTAAATTTGATCGAAAGAAATTGAACGCTTTCATAACATGTGTCGCCCGAGATTCGGACAACTTCAAATCGCACACTATCGTCGCGTCGCCGGTGACTTCACCCACAAATCGACGCGATTACAACACGAGGATGGAGCCTCGAATCATTCCATTTATTGCTGAGCGCATTGCACGCCCGGACCGCCGGCGCCTTCGTCGTCGGAATCCTCGTATTGGCGACTGTGCTTGTGCTCGTGCTCGCGTCGGCGCTTCTCTTGCTCCATGTCGACCTCGTGCATGGTAACTTCCTCGACATTTTCGCTCTCCATGTTGATGCTGAGCTCCGGACGCGGCGGCAAAAGCTTTTCGAGCGCGGCGAGAGCGTCATCGGACAAATCACCCGACACCGGGAACTTGACGGTGAAGTGGATGAAGAGACGTCCCTTTTGGAAAGGGTTGCCAGCCTTGGGCATGCCCTCGTCGTAAACCGCCTTAACCTGGCCAGGTTTGATGACCTCGCCCTCGGCTGTGGTGACGACGAGCTGACGTCCGTCGAGGTGATCGACGGTCATCTTCATACCGCACAAAGCCTCGACGAGGGTAATTTCCTTCTCCATGAATAAATCGTCTCCCTTGCGAGAGAAAACCGCGTGGTCCTTTTGTTGGACGACAAAGATAATGTCGCCCGGGACCGTGTCCGGCGCTTCATCCGCTTCGCCTTGGAAAGCAATCTTTTGGTTGTGTCTCATGCCCTTTTCGATGTGCACTTCGAGAACCTTCTTCTCTTGCACAACCTTAGCGGCGCGGCACTGCTCGCACTTGTCCTTCTCGCTGATCGTCTGTCCGGTGCCTCGGCAGTCGTTACAGACGGTTTGCATCTGCTGTACCATGCCCGGAGCGATCTGTCGAACGACAACCTTGACGCCGGCGCCTCGGCAGCCGTTACACGTGCCGCTCGCCCCCGACTTGCTCCCCTTACCGTCGCACTTTGGGCAGATGATGTTCTTAGACAAGCTCAGCTTCTTCGTCACGCCGCCGTATAACTCCTCCAAACTAAGGTTAAGCGCGTGCACGACATCTTCGCCCTTTCGCACGCGAGAGCGTCCACCGCCGCGTCCACCGCCCGGTCCCCCAAACGGGTTCCCGCCGAACATGGCTTCAAAAATGTCAAACGGCGACCCCCCTCCGCCGCCGCCCATCCCGCCATCCTTCAGCGCCTCCTCACCGTACTGATCGTACATCGCCCGTTTATTCTCATCGCTCAACACTTCATACGCCGCCGAGATTTCCTTGAACACGTGTTCATCCCCGCCTTTATCCGGGTGATGTTTCACCGCCATCTTGCGGTACGCCTTTTTGATCTCCGCCGGCGTCGCGCTCTTACTCACCCCGAGCACATCGTACAGCTTGGTATCATCCGACTGCGCGCGCGCATCGCGGCGTTATCCTTTCGTCAGTCTACGTCCGTCGTCCTCGACGTCGCCGTCGCGCGACCGTGCCTTCTCCGTCCATCCGCGCGGTTTCTGGAATCTCCTTCATCGAGCTTCATCGCACGATCGCGGCATCTTCCATCGCCCCCGTTCCTCGCCCGCGCGTCGACGTGGTCCAGCGCGTCGCCGATCGCGCGCGCGCGCGCGCACCTTGCGTCCGGACCCTTGTCGACCGAACATCGAGCGACGCGCGAAGTGGAGCCGTGACGCGACCGCGGTGGCGGCGCGTGGTCAACACGATGTCGATGACGAGTCGATGACTCGTCGATGCCTCGCGGGTGGATCGCGCGCGCGGGCGGACGTCGCGGAGCCCTACTCGGCGTCCGCCCGACGATGGGCGCGGCCGAAACGGTCGGACATCACGGCCATGATTCGCGCGGCGGTTTCTTCGACGCCCTTGTGGGTGACGTCGAGGATTTTGTACGCGTCGTTCGAGGCGTAGAGGGCGCGGGCGAGCTCGAGCTCGCGGCGGACGACGCCGAGGTCCGAGTAGACGGAACGGCGAGCGGCGTGGCGGGAGTTTCGAAACTCGCGCTCGGCGTCGGCGACACCCATGGTTTGTAATCGATGGGCTCGGATGGAGTGCAAGACGTCGGCGGAGATCATGAGGCAGAAGACGCGACGAGGGTCAACGTCCGCGATGTGCGGCGGGAGGACGAGCTTTCCGTCGATGGGAACCAGGGGGTAATTCGCCACCTTGTACCCGCGTTGGCCCAAGAAAATGCTCAACGGGGTTTTACCGGTGCGAGAGATGCCCAGGATGAGAATGTCGGCCTCCCGCCACCTGTGCGACGACGCGCCGTCGTCGCACTGTCGGGTGTACTCCACGGCTTCAATCATGCGATAGTAATCGCTCGAGAGCAGCGCCTCCGCGGACTGTCGCGTCTCCGCTTCGCCGGACGGGCGTTTGATCATCGGTAAGTTCATCAATGGTATCTCCATGTGCTCCTCCATCTGCTTCAAGAGATTTTCCCAGACGTTCACGAAGCGCACTCCGGCGTCGCCCGCGAGCGAGGCCATCGCGAGCGACATGTCGACCTCGGCCAGGGTGTACACGATGAGCGCGTCGTCCTCCTTGGCCTGCTGCACGATCGCCGCCAGCTCGGATTTATCATTAATGAATCGGAACATTTCCAAATTCGTGGGGTAAGGCATGTGCATGCACTGCTCGAATTGTCCAAGCGCCGCCTGCACGGCTTTCGCAGCCGTCGCGCCCGTGGAATCTGAAACCACGAAGATGGGCTTCGGGAGCAGGCACACCTCCTCGCGCACGCTCACCGCCTGCGGCGTCGTGTCTCGCTGGTACTTACTCACCACCTCGCGCGCGGGCGCCCTGCGCGTTTTGTCCTTCTCGTCCCGCATCGAGACGTCGATCGACTTCTTCTTCGAGAGCGACCGCGAGCGCGCCAACTTCCTCGCAGCCTTCCCGAGCGACGCCGTGCCCACGCGCTTCGCCCCAGCCTCACGCACAGCCTGAGGATCACTCGCTTGCATCGCCGGTCTTCGAACCACGTCCCCGTTCGCGGTCGCTCTTCGCAGCTCGGCGAGCTCCGCCTCGGCGCGCCGCAACGAGTCCCGCAGCGCCCCCGCCCTGGCCTCCGCCGCCCGAACCTTCGACGCCCGCTCCTGATCGATCTGTCTCGCCGCGAATGATTCCATCCGCTTCGCCTCCGATTCGCTCTCGCGCATCTGTAGACCGGTGACGCGATCCAACAACCCGCCGCCCGGCGCGCGGGCGAACCGACTCACCCGCGTCCTGGCCAAATTTTCACGAATCCGCATCCGCTCTCGCATCATCCGCTCGTGCGTCGCCGACGCGTTGCGCACGATGTTCGATGCGTCCGTGTCGTCGCTCGACGTCGATCCGAGGTCGTTCGACCGCGACGACGCGGGCGGTTTCATTGGAATCATCTTTTTTGATTGGGAGCTTTGCGCGCGACGCATCGTCGTTCGGCGTCGCGAACGCGCGTCCGTTCGCGGCGTCGCCGCGACGGGGCGTCGGCGTAAAATATCCATCGCGCGCGCGTGCGATTTTCACGCCCGCGCCGCGGCCCGTCGCGCCCTGCGGCGCCGTTGCGTTGAAATTCAACCCACGTCGCGAGACGGTTATATTCCTGAGATGTTTCGATCCTCTCTCGACTGCGTCGCGCGCGTCGTCGTCGCGCGTCGAGCGACGCGCCGGCATGCGCGCGCGCGCGCTCGAGGCGTTCCTCGTCGACGCCCGCGCGTCGTGCGCGGACGTGCGCACGGATGCAGAGAGTTTACGAGAGGTGTCGAGCGACATGGGCGTCCATCACGGTGCGCTGCCGAACGCCGTCGCGCGTCCGACGACCGCTCGCGAGTGCGCGGGGCTGGTGCGCGTGTGCGCGACGCACGCGGTGCCGTGCGTGCCCAGAGGCGCGGGGACGGGGTTGGAGGGGGGGGCGGTGGCGTACTCCGGTGGGTTGGTTGTGGACACGAGCGCGTTGAAGACGATCGACGTCGACGCGACGAATTTGACGGCCACGGTCGGGGCCGGGGTGCTGAAGAGCGAGCTGAATAAGGCGTTGGCGCCGTACGGGTTTTTGTTCGGTCCGGATCCGTCGAGTAATCCGTCGATCGGGGGGATGTGCAGCACTGGCGGGAGTGGTTTGTCGACACTCAAGTACGGAACGAGTAAGGAAAACGTACGGTCGATGCTCGTGGTGACGCCCCAGGGGGAGCTTATTCGCACGCGAGCGAAGACGAGGAAGTCGTCGACAGGATACGAGCTCAACGCGCTGTATCTTGGCGCGGAAGGGACGTTGGGGCTGATCGTGGAGATTACGGTTCGCATTGTGCCCCTGCCAAAGCTTCGATGCGGCGCGGTTGTGAGGTTCCCAAGTGTCGGTCAGGCGGCGCAAACGACGAGCGACGTGGTGGTCATGAACTTAAGTACACTCCTCAGATGTGAGTTGATGAATGATGAGGGGATCAAGGTGACGAACACCGTGTTCAAGACGACGCTTCCGTGTGCGCCGACGTTGTTTCTAGAGTTCGTCGGGAATCGAAAGGAGGAAATGCTCTCGGATTGGGATAGTTTTCGCGCTCGAGCGGTCGCGAATGGCGCCGAATCGCATACGTTCGCCGAAGATGGCGCGCAGTTAGACGCGCTATGGGACGCTCGGCGCGGATGTTACCTCGGCGCGATGCGCTATCGAGGACTGGAATCTGGCACAAACTCGAAGGAGAAAGTGTACGTCGGCGACGTGTGCGTGCCCGCGAGTAAGCTCTCGGAGTGCATTGCCATCACCGAGCGTGAATTCAAAAAAGCCCGGTTCCCATGCGTTATATGCGCACACATAGCCGATGGGAATTTCCACTGTTTGATTCCGTTTCAAGAGAGCGAGCGCGCGGCGCTCCTCGCCCTGGAGGATAAAGTCATCGGCCACGCGATCGCTTTAGGCGGTAGCGCCTCTGGTGAGCACGGAGTGGGCATCGGAAAGCAAAAGTATCTCATCCTCGAGCACGGTGGCGCTCACATCGACGTACAACGTCGAATCAAGCGCGCTCTGGATCCGCTGAACATCATGAATCCGGGGAAAATAATTTCCTGGGATCCGTCCGACGCCGAGCGCATCGGTCCCCAGCGCCCTGAATTAGCCAGATTATGACGTGCTGTAATTTTCATCGTCCATGTTCATCGCTTTGCTCCACGAGAGCGCGCGTCGTCGTCGTCCACCTTTCGCACCGACCTCGCGTTCTTCACCCTCGCCGAATCAAACCAGGTTGCCAACACTATAGCGCGTTGCTCGTCTTCCTCGACCGCACACGGCGTCGCGCGACATGACGCCCGCTCGCGCGCGCGCGAGGCGTCGCGCGAAGGCCACGGGCTACGCTCGCCTCGCTTTCGCCCTCGCCTTAGCCTCGAGCGGCGCGAGCGCGGCGACACCGAGCTCGGCCGGCCGACCCGGCGCTCGACCGTGGATCGTCGAACGCGCCGAGCTCCACGGCCTGAGCGCGAACGCGCTGGAGGAGGCGTCGAGTAACGTTGAGACTATCGTGAGCAGAGATTGTTTCGTCGTCGCGCGGGACGGGGTGGTAGTGCATGAGTCGTACTACGGCGGCGCGGATGCCAACACCCAGACGAACGCGGACGGCGTCGGGACGTTGGCGCTGGTGGCGGCGACGGGGGTGGCGGCGCAGCAAGGTTTGTTGGAGTTAGACGCGCCGTTAAGTAAGTATAATGTGCGGAGCGCGGAGGAAGCGTTCGGGGGACGCGTAGACGGAGTGACCGTGCGGCAGCTGTTGGCGCAGACGCACGGGGGTGGATCACGAGAGCCCGGAAGCGCGTTTGAGCGCGACGATCTTCGCACCGGGCCGTTCTTGGACATTATAGGCGATATCATCGAGACGGGTAGTGGAATGAAGCTCGCGGAGTGGGCGCGGGTGAACTTGGCGGAGAAGCTCGGAGCGCCGCACATGTTTGAGAGCTCGTCTAGGGCGGATGGAGCTGATGGCGCGTCACTTTGGCGCGATTTGCGCATGACATGTCGAGATGCGGCCAAGCTCGGGCAGCTGTTTATCAATCAAGGAAAGTGGATGAGCGTAGACGGTAGCGTTCGGCACATGTTCGATCCCTCGTTCGCGGTGGAGGCGCTGTCGGTGAGTTATCCAAAGCTGAATCAAGCACACGGTTTCATGACGTGGCTGCATGTTCCCGTCACGCCCACGGGTACGCAGTGCTGTGCGCCAAGGACGGTGAAGAACTCGTGCGGCTCGAGTGCCGAGGCGATCAGTGGCCCGATTCTCGGGAAGGACGCGCCGCACGCCCCGGTGGCTGTCTCCATGGGAGACGAAGGATCAATGATTTTTATGTTGCCAGAGACGAACACCGTGGTGGTTACGCTCGGTCGCACCACCCCGGGATCGCCGGCGTGTCCTGCCGCCCCTTCAGACGTCGTCGACACAGGTGGTAACGGTCGTCGCGATGACGCGTACCTTCTACGCACGATGTGGTCAGCCATGGGTGGAGCCCTCAAGCCTCTCGAGTTGGACGCGCCGTCGAGAAAGGCCGTGTCGCAAAAGGAAGCAGCTCTTGAGCACGACTGGCAAAGATGGAAGGAAAAGAAGTCGTCGAAAAAGTCCAAGGGTAACGAAGTGGCGAAGACTGGGTCGAGCCAGTCCGCTTCTTCCAGCATTTTGGATGCCGTACGCGAGGCGGTTGCGCAAGTCATGGGAAGCGCAGCGGCAAAGGATGACGGGGTTGTGCACGATGGCCACGCGACGTACGAGGTCCCGGATCCAGACAGACTCGGCGAAATGAGTCCCACGACGTTCAGAGCGCCGGTTCCTAAACCGTTCACACCGGGTGAGGAGGCGGAAGAAGAATACAAGAGACGGCAGATTGAGTATGCTCGGGACATGCAGGAACGCGAGTACAAAAAGTTTGAGTCAAGCGTGCAGGCAGACTATCGGGAAGCGCTGACTAAAACGCGCGAGAAGTACCAGAAAGACATGCGAGCGGCGCAAAAGGAGAAGAACGCCGCCGTCAGGGCGCAAAAGGAAGACCTCGCCGCCTCAGTGTACTTGGAGGCGGTCAACAAAATTGAGCACACGGGGACGCAGGCTTTGCAACAGTTGGATTTGTGGCGCAAGGCGACTCTTCCTCCTTTGATCGACGGTGAGGATGCCACGTCGAGCAATATCACGGCTTCTAGATCGCACAAGGTGAAAGGAAGCGATCTTGGCGCGGTAGAATCGAGAAAGATCCACGATTACAACGACATAGCATTGGCGATGGACGGCGTCTCCGCGAAGCTGAAGCGACTTGCGAAGGGCGACTCGCGCTCGAGCCGCGGATCGTACGCGGCTCTGGGCGATGCTCAAGACAAGCCATCGAAGAGTATTCGAGGTTCGTGCGTATGTGGTTGTCCGAACACGAAAGCATCGCAGGCGACGTGCTTCGATATCGACGCCAGCGCTCTCGGATCGGAGGAGGCAGCCGCCAACGCGTGCGCCTCGATGCACTCTCGCGCTGGGTTAGGTTGCCCGCACACGGGCATCGTACAACAGTGCGGTGAGATAATTGGCAAACATGGGAGCTCTAGCGATGATTTGGAGTGTCGTCAAGTTCGACGATGCCCTCGCACGAAAGAGGACGCATCGAAGACAGCGTTCCTCGCGGCAGTTTTCGATTGCAGGCCGACGAAGTTTGCGCACTGCGCCTTTGTCGCCTCCCCGTGCGCGCACTCAAACATCGTCATCAAGCCCGTGGCTTCTCGCGCTTTGGAAGCGGATAAGGAAGCGTCGACGCTCGCGCAGCCGCAGTATCCGCGGCGTGCGGCGCACAGGTTCCCAGAGCACGAGCACACACACCTCAATAGCGGGAACGCCATGCAGCGATGGTTCCAAAACTCATCCGCCGAGGTAAGCGTGGGATTGGTGATGGCCATCTTATCATTGGCGCTGATTACGATTGCGCGCAATTTCCCGTCCGCGGTGACGGGTGGCGAGAGGTTCGGTGCAGCTCCGTCCAAGCCGAGGCAACGAAAAGTGTCGGCGCCAGAGCGCGTACCCCTGTTGGGAACTCACCAAAAGTGCGAGCCATCCAAGGCCGTCCCCGCGGTAGGTAAACACCATCGTTCGACGCCTTCGATCTCTTCGATGTCGTCCGACGCTCCGAGCCCAGTCATGAACGTCGCCGAGGCCGCAGATGTCGTGCAGAGGTTCCCAAGGCCGATCAAAGTGTTTCAACCTCAGGGCGACGAGTTGACTAGAAGAGATCCGAGGCGCACGGCGGCTCCGAAACCGGCGGTGCGCGTTCCCGTCGTCGAGCAGTCCGAGGACGACAACGACTCAACGGAGAGTTGATCACAATGTAACAAACACGCACTAGTAGACCTAACAAAACGAAAATCGATCGCTTTACAACCGCAAGCGCGCTAAAGACATGGCTGCACGAGTGAGTCCAATGAAAGATCTCCGCGCCGACGCGCTCGACGAGGGCCAGTACGACCGCGAAGCCGAACCAAAGACCGCCGGCATCGCGGCTAAACCTACGGTTTTCTCGTCTCCCGAATGCTCCGCGCGAGAGAGCGCGGAGTATCCACGGCTACCTGTGGCAGTAGGGAAGTAGTGAAAAATCTTTGAACCGCATCGCGCCTCGCCGCTCGTTTTTCGTCGCTTGGCGTCGTCACCGCCCAACCCACCTCCACCGCTCTCAAACCCGGAACTATCACCCGTCATTCTGCTCGGACTCAACCCAAAATCGACCGCCATATTCGCCAAGTGATCGGCATGCTTGTTGAACTCGCGTTTGACGTGAGAAATCTTAAACTCGGCAAACTTCTTCTTGAGCGAAACCGCCTCGGCATGCATCGACCGCAAATTCTCGCTCTTGAGCTTGAAAGACCCGTCCACTTGATTGACGATAAGTTTACTATCTCCCCGCACCTCGATCTTCGTGATACCGAGCTCAATCGCCTTGCGTAAACCCAGACACAGCGCCGCGTACTCGGCTTCGTTCACGGTGCGCTCGCTCCCCAAATATTCCAAAAGCTCCTCCACAACGCGATCATCTCGCTTCCTTCTCAACAGCGCTCCCGCTCCCGCTTCCCCAGGATTCCCTCGACTCGCCCCATCGAACTCCAACACGTACTCATCCGCGCTCGAGACCTCCGCGCTACCCGCCCGCGCGCTCGCCAACTCTTCGCCCGCCAAGTCGCCGCGCGCCGACGTCGACGCACCTCGCGCCCGCGCCCGCGACGCCTTCACGGGCGATCGCACGCTCACCGTCGCTTTCGCCTTACCGATCGATGTCGTCGCTCCGAGCGATTCACTCCCTCGCGCGCCGTCGTCGCCGTCCTTCTGGACATGGCCCGTGTGTCCGACCGCATCGACATCACCGCCCGAATCGTCCCCACCGTGCTCGCGCACGAACGCCTCCGCCTCCTCGCGCGTGGAAAATTTCTAAAATAATACCCACCATCGTTTCACCCGTCAGTCTGGCGCAGAACCACGTCGCGTCGATCACGACACGCGCGCGAATCACACGTCATCGCCGCCGTCACGACACGCGCGCACCTTGTGCTTCGCCCCCCCGACGCCGTCGACGGCGTTCTTGGCGTCGTCCCAGGTCGTGAACACGCCCCGTTTTAGTCCGATCGCGACGGCGTAGTACGCCGGGGCGTTCGAGCGCTTCCGTGGCATCGGGCACGGGCGAGAAGTGGGGGGGGGACGATGTGTCGGCGTTCCGACGGTCTGTTACGGTGACAAAATGTGCGGTGCAGGAGAATGTGACGCGTTCGTGGACGACGGGACGCGTTCGAGGGGTGCGACGCGGTGGGCGAGGGAACGCGATCGACGCGGACGATCGCTCGCGGTGTCATCGAGACGTACGGGACGTCGTGCATTAAATGATATTCTGAACGCGCGGCGGCGAAGGCGATGCGCGCGCGCGCGTCTCGCGTAATCGAACCGATGAAAACCTGTGATTCGGTCTTTGTTCATCGGTCGTCACGAAGCGAGACGTGCGCGCGATCGCGATCGTCAAATGCGCTGATAGATGAGACAATGCGGCGATTGTTTACGCCTTGATGAGCGCGTCGATGTCCGCCGTGAGGTTGGCGTTCTCAAACTTGGGCGAGTATCGCTTCGCCGGCTTACCATCCTTGCCGATCAAGAACTTTTCAAAGTTCCACACGACGTCGGATCTTCGCACGGGCGACCACTGGAGCGGCATGGAGTTCGGCTGCGTGTTGTAGATGAAATCATCCCCGCGTCCTCCGTTGTCGTCCGCCGGGTACGGAATCGCGCGCTTCAAAAACGTCCAAAACGCATCCTCATCCTCCCCGTTGATGGTCATCTTACCCGTAATTTGGAACTTCGGCTCGTATCCGTTCCCCGGTCGGACGTACTTGAGCGTGTTCAACAATTCAAAGTCCTTATCGTAGCACTGATGTCCGAACTGGTTGCACGGGACGCCCAAAATCACCAAGTCGTCCCCGTACTTCTCCGCCAGGGCGTTCAATTGAACAAAATCCCTGACGGTCGTGCCTCAAAAGGTCGCCACGTTGTTGATCAGCACCACCTTGCCCTTGTACTGCGACAGCGGCAAGTCCGCGCCCTCGGTGGGGGCCTCGCGCGTGCCCCCACCGAGCGTCTTCAGCGTGAAGTCATGAATGGTTTGGGACGCGTTGGTTTGCGCGCGAGCACCGCGCGCGAGGCCACGCGTGCGCGAACGCGCGCGCGCGAGCCTCGCGGGGGCGACGACGGCGCGCTGGGTGAGCATCGTGCGCACGTCTCCAGAGTCCCGCGTCGGCGACTGGGGCGATGACGCGCGCGCACGAACCCCCCTTTGGGTTTGAGGGTTTAGGTCGCGACGAGACATCAGACGCGCGACGCGTCGGGGCGGTCGATGTGGATGCATCGATGATTGCGGGGTGGATTTTGGAACGCGTGTGAAAATACAAGTCGCGAAGGTGTTCGTGATCGCCGTGAGGGGGCTCGCGACGTCGGTTGACCGTCGTCCGCGGCGTCCGTTACTTTTTGCCGGATTTGGTCGACGTCTTCTTGAGCTTTTTCCGAGGTTTCACCGCGTCGGCGAGGGATTCACCGTCGCCCGGGAGGTCGTCCCAGGATGCAAGTTTCTTCTTCTTCTTCTTTTCCGCCTTGTCGAAGAGGGCATCGATGTCATCGTCCTCGCGGAATCTGGTCTCCTCGTCGCTCTCATCCTTTGGAGGTTCAGACGTTTTTTTCTTCGTCTTCTTCGTAGACACGCGCTCAGTGACAACGGCGTCGTCATCAATCGCAGCTTCATTATCGATATCTTCTCCTCTTTCGTCATCGTCGCTATCCTCGTCCTCGGCACTGTCGCTCTGCGGAGTCTCCTCCGCGTCGTCATCCACAAACTCGATGTCGTCTCGGCCAGGTTTGTAGAACAAATCGAGGAGGTGATCGTCGTCAGGAGCGTCTTTATACCCGTCGTAATGCGTTCGAACCTTGTTCGCGAGTCTGGCAGCTTCAAAATCCGCCGCCGCTGCCTTGAGCACCTCTGTCCACTTCATCGCTGTGTTGACGCTCGCCGATACGCACTGCTTCACATCTTCGCCCGACACCCCGTTTCCGCTCGTCGACACCGCGCACACTTCCTCGAGCGAGTTCACGACGCACACCACGCTCCCGTCGGCGGTGATCTCTTCCTCGAGCGTGGGATCCGCCACAGCCAGTCCCGGCGCTTCATCGAAGAAGCAATACGTGGACGCAATCGGAAAGTGGTGCATGTTCAGCGCGATCGCCTCCCTCGCGTCCACACTATGTACCGTCACGATACCACTGTTCGGATCCACCGAGCACTCCGGCCTGCGATACGTCATCAGGGACCCGCACGCGGCTAAACTCGCGACGCCCGCCAAATTTCCGTCGTGCGCCAAAATTGTAACCGAACAAGTGATCGCCCACGTCCGCTTCCCCGCCAACACGCACAGCGACTCCACGTCCACCGCTCGCCCATCCTTCAACCCTCTCTCTAACAACATCCCTAAATCTCTCGATCGCTGCCGCGTCTCCCGACTCGCTCTGCCGTCCCGGGCGAACCCCGTGCACGCGCCGCTCGAAAACTCCACGTCCACTCGTAACGACCCCTCCGCCGACGCCCCCGCGGACGCCGGACGCTCCAATTGACCCGTCGTCGTCGCGCACGCGAGCGTATGGCCCAAACGAACGACGCAAACACCGTCGAGGGGTCCGAATGAGATTTCGATTTGATTCTCAAAAGTGTCGCCGCCGCCGCGAACTTCCCCGGGCGCGCGGCCGTCGATGCGGAACGGACCGCTGTCTTCGTCGCCTTGCAACGCGGCGACGATGAACTCGCGATTGTTCATGGAGACCAAGGTGTCGGTGTCGGTAGAGAACGGACGCATGGCGCAATGTGCGGCGCGAAGACGCGAGACGCGCTCGACGCGTCGCGTCGAGCGATGGTAACGATCTATCGTGAAGTTACACGCGAAGCATCTCGCTCAGTGGGGTGAAATTTCTATGAAGGAATCTACCGATCCCGACGGGGAGTCTCGAGCGAGCGGGAAGGTGAAATCGGCGGCCCACGGCGAGGCGACGTCGGAGCGCTCCGCGGAGCTCGGCGGCGCGGCGCGCCCGGGGGAGCTCTCTCGAAGCTTATCGTCTAGCTCACCGCGAAGTGCGGCGAGCTCTCGATGGAGTCGAGCGTTGTCGCGTAAGATCTCGGATTGGAGCTTTCGGAACTCGGCTCTACGAGACTCAATCTCCGCTTCGGCGTCTTGCTTTGCGCGTCTGAGCTCGGCGTCGACGCTCTCGCGCGAGTCCCTCACCACGGGTGCCGTCGCGCCTGCGCTTCGCAGAGTCATCTCCTTAATTTGCGTGAACAACTGTGCGAGCTCAGCCTTGGTTTGCTTCTCTTCGAACGCCAAACGCTCGTTTGCGATTTTGGCCTCGGCGTCTAGCTCGACGCGAAACCGATACGCGTCGTCCATCGCCGCCTGCGTCGGTGTGTTCGCCAAACGCTCGCGCAAAATCTCAATCTCTCGCTCGAGACTGGACTTTTCGACGCACGTCAACTGCAGTTTCGCCTCCAACGCTGCCGCGCGCTCGTCGCTCGCCCGCAGACGCTCCGCCAAACGGTCCATCTCGATCGTTCTCGCGTGCTCAGCCACCTCGACGTCGAACGATCGCTTAGCCTCGAGCTCACGGCTCATGCGCTGAATAACGTCCTCTTGCGAAGAAATCTTTTGCTCCCGCGTCTCCGCCTTGGTCTCGAGCGAGCGAACGCGCTCGCTCAGCGCTCGCACGTCGTCGCGCAGCGACTCCTCCCGTCTCGCCGTCGCCGCGCTCGCCTCCGTCTCAACCCGCAACCGACGCTCGTACGATTCCCTCGTCGACATCAAACTCACACCAAGACTCTCTATCGCGCGCTCCTTCGCCCTGAGCGCCTCACGAAGACCATCTTCTCGCGCCTCCCGCCCGTCCCGCGCCCGCGCGCGGCGTTCCACCGCCGCCTCATCCGCCACTAAATTCGTCTCCACCGCCACCGCCGCCGCCTCCAGCGCCGCCAATCGTCCCTCCACCCCTCGCCCATCGCGTGCATCCGAGTCGTCCCCCTCGAGCGCGCGATCGTCGCTCGCGCGTGCCGTCGTCGTCGTCCGCGTCGTCGTCTCGGTCAACGCCATCCATCGCTCGTCGTCGTCGCGCGCGCGCGGCATCGGCGCAAGTCACGCCCGCGCGCGGGCCACGCGCGTCGCCGCGCGCGGGCGTCGTCGCCGTCCGTCGTCGCGGTCGCTCGTCGTCGCGCGCTGACGTGGGTCTCGCGCGGGCGACCGGTGATGGTCGTGTCCCGACACGCGGGTGTTTGGAGGCGCCCATGTGACGTGGGCGTCGTGTGGGCGAACAGTCTGGGTCGTCGTGTCCCGACACGCGGGTGTTTGGAGGCGCCGATGTGACGTGGGCGTCGTGTGGGCGAACAGTCTGGGTCGTCGTGTCCCGACACGCGGGTGTTTGGAGGCGCCCATTTGAAATCCATCCATCCATCCATCCACCGCGCGTCGACGGAGAAATCGGCACCGCGCGTCGCGCGACGACGACACGGATGACGACCGCGTCCGAGACGCTCGTGACGTCCGTGGGGGACGATCGGGCGCGGGAGACGACGATGTGTCCGCTCGGGAGGTTGGAACTCACGAATCCACCGCCCGAACGGTCGTTGGAGCGACGTGACGACGACGACGACGGGCGGGGGGAGGACGAGGAGGAAAACGGGGAGGATGATACCCCCACGGGGTCGCTGGAGTCGAATTATGGGTCGGGAGGAAGTCCTGGGACGAGCGAAGGGGGGAGCGCGCGTCGCGATTCGAAACGGAGCGCGCGGCCGTGGACCATGGATGAGGAGCGCGCGTTTCACGAAGCGCACGCGAGGTCGAGAGGGGACATGGGGACGGTGATGGCGGTACTCATGCGTAGCCCGTTTCGTCGGGAACGGGGGATGGTGTCGAGATTTAGGAATAACTCGCTTCGGCGATTGCAGCGAGTGCTGCAGATGAAAAATTTGAGCCTGGACGGGAAGAATAAGATGGAGGTGGTGAAGGCGTTCGAGGCGTACTGGGCGTTTAGATGCAGAGAGGGGTTACCGGGGGAGGACGTGCAGAGTTTCGGAAGGCGACTGAACAATCACGCGAACGGGCTGATGACGCGGTGCGCCGAGGCGCTGCGAAAAGAGCTTCGGAGCGTTATTGCTCGTCCCGAGTGGCACGCGGATGACGCGAATGAGCGTGGTAGGGAGGCGTTGATGAATAGTAATGTAATTGCGGCGGCGGCGGCCGCGGCGGCAACGGCGGTGAAGGAAGAGAAGGATGAGGGTATGCAACCAACCGCGGCGCGAATCACGGAGGACGGGAAACTCAAATTCGTCCTGCAGCTCTTTCCAAAGGACGACGACACGGCGAAGCGCATGAACAAGCACGGATACAATCCGCTGTGTGAGCTGACGTTTAGGCACAAAAAGTCCGTTCCGGGTTTGGTGTTGCACCTGAGCGAAAAGTGGGTGAAAGCCAGTCCTAGCCCGAGTCACATCTTGCAGTTGCACCCGTTCGAGGCGGATGGCAAGGTGGGTCCATGGAACGCGACGCTGGAGAATGCGACGGCTTTGGATGTGTACAACGCCCTCGGTGAGCCGTATTGCTTCCGTTTGCGTTACTGCTGGGAAGATAGACACGCCGCGATCGCGGCGACGAAGTCGAGGACGCCGCCAAGTAGCGGGAAGCGAAAAGCTGCCGCCATCTCTTTGGGCGGCATCTCCCTTGACACCGCGCTCAACTTTGACCCGATTCCCGGCGATACGCCCGCGGTGAAGGCTCAAAAACCAGTAGTGGATCTCAACGGCGAACTCACTTTTGGCGATTTCGAAGGACGAGGGTTTTCAAACATGTTCGCGCCGACGAGAGACGGACACACGCGTCTGAACGCGAGCCGTCAGCCTTTCGCGAGCGTCAACTCTCCGACAAAGACGAACGGTTTCGCCCGAATATTTGCGTCGCCCGAGAAGAAAAAGTCACTCGCACCTTCCGATGACTCGCTTCTTCGCGTCCTGGACGGCATCGAGGATAATGAAGGCGGAGATCCATCCGTGGCGGACCCAATTTCTGGCATGGCCATCGGTGATTCGCTCTTCGGTCCGGGGGACTCGATGTTCCACAACGCCATCCTGGGCGGCGGAGAAACGCGATCGCGCGCGGCCGGAAGAAAGAGTGGTTCGCACGGCCCAATGAATTTTGCCGGCATGTTTACAAAAAAGAGTTGAGCGAGCGTACACTGTACAACACATTTAAAAATTACAGACATCAAAACAGAACGTCGCTTCGCAACACGTACTTCGTCCCTCGCCTCACGAGCTCGCCCTCGTGCTCGGGTAGATTCGCTCCGTGTCTAAAGTACAGCGCTCGACCCGTTTTAGGCTCGACTCTCGCGCGCTCCACCCCGTGATAGTCGTAGAAAATCGTGCATCCGCCCTCCACGTCCTCTCCGCTTAAATAAACCAAAGCCGTGTACCCCGAGCGCCGTCCGCGCACCGTCACCCGTTCGTCCACGTGCGGGCCGAAGTGATCCCCCGTATCGCCCGCGTACTTATACACCCGAATGTTCGGATTAAATCCACTCGCGTCGTCCAACTCGAACTCGAACGTCCGCTTCCCGTCCACCGCGTCCCACAGCGCCCGCGCGAACGTCTCGTCCTCCCGCGCGTACCGTCCGTTGCTTCGCCACGCTTCGCCGTACTTCGGTCCCCTGGACGTGGCGTGCGCGAACCCATTCCCATCCTCGATCGTCCGGATGATCTCTTCGCACGTCGCGCGCGAGAGCGCGTCGTCGACGACGATGATTTCATTCTCGAGCACGCGCACGACGTTCGGCGCCGCGTCTTCGCGCCGTCGTCGCTCGACGTCGCGCGCGAGCGACGGGAGCGACGGGGTGACCGCGGGCGCGCGTGTCGACGTCGCCGTGGGCGCGACGCGGCGGTGGCGCGGCATCGGCCGAGACGGGGCGACGCGGGCGGACATGTGCGGCGAACGTCGAGTTGGCGCACGGTGGGAATGAGAGAATTTCTTGCGTACAACCATCCGCGTCTCGTCGGTACGGATGCGCGCGCGGACGCGAGGACCGCGGTGCGTCGAGTCGCGGTGCGTAAAATTGGTGATCGATGTCACCGATGTAGAGACGTCTTAAACTTCGATGGGAGAAGACTGTTGGCCGGGGGCGTTTTCGCTGTTCCCGCCGTTCCCGTTGTTCCCGTTGTTCGTCTTGGGCAAACCCACGATGTCCATGCAAGTGCAGCACTTATATCCGGGGTTCGCGGAGTTTTGACACTCGTTCGCGGTGTGACCGCCGACGTTGTTGCATCTGCATTTATTCGGACCCTCGCCTGCGATGGGATCGCACGATAACTCGTAGCCCGCGGCTTGGGCGGCTGCGCACGTCTCGTCGCAGTCACCGTTACCCGAGCCGCAGCTCTGCGTGCACACGCCGTACGCCTGAGGGAACCAAGGGTTCGCACAAATGCCTGATCCTTCGGGGAGCGCGGATTCCATGGGTTTGCAGGTTCTGGCTTTTTTATTTTGTTTGTTTTCCGGATCGAACGTGCACATATTACCAGCAGGGCAAGGCTCGCCGTTGCAGCACGAGCCCTCGGCGGACATAGACTTGATGCCCGGCTTGTTGTGCTTGATGCGGAAAACCTTACCGTCGGGTGTTGTCGTATCGTCGCTGAGAACTTGGCCACACATCGCGGGCTCCTCGATCGGTTCCTCTTGTGTTTTCTCGAGCATTGTGCACACGTTTGGCAAGTTGCGGTTCGCGCACGCCTCTGGGTTCTGAGGTGCTTTCATGCACGTGCCCCAGACGTACGTGATCACGGAACCTGAGGGGCGGTTGTACCACTTATCACCGAAAGCCTTGAAGCAGTGTCTGCTCCCCGGTCGATGCGATTTGATTGGGTACCATGCAGGAGACGCGGACGAGCAGCGCTCGCCCCCGTGCCAGCACGTCGTGTTCGACTGCAAAAGACCATGATTCTCGGCGTGGTGCGTCCCGGCGTCGTACCGATGATCGCACCTGTCTTCGGTTCCTCCTCTCCCGACGAGCTTACAGTCGGCGTGCGACCCTTTTTGGCATTCGCGCTCGTGCTCCAGCGTGCACCCGGCTTCGATGGCGGCGAACCCGTACACGTCACCGGTCCCGAACGCCCGAGTCTTGATCTCGAACACGTTGCGATCGATGCTCGTCGCCGGCATTTCCAGTTGGTTGGCGTACCGCCAGTGCCCGCACGTCGCCCCGTGACCGGGACATCCGACGAGCTTGGCTCGGCAAATGGGCCAGGGGAGAAACTTTGCATAAATCTCATCCGGGATCCCGCACGTGTACACCCTGAACGTGATCTCGCGCGTCGGCGTGCCTAGGACGTAGACATTGAACATCCTAATCAGACTGTGCGGGGCGACGAAGTAGGAGTGCGTGAAGGCGCACGCGAAGGCGAGGCAGACGCCGAACACCCACATCGTCGCGCGCTCGCCGCGAGTGCGTCGTTTGCTCGGCGCCGCGCTCGACATCCCCCGCTCGGCGCCGAGCAGGGGATCGGTCTCGTCATGTTTCGCGCGAAAGCGCATCATCACGCGCGTGGGTCGATTCGAAACGCGGCGTGAGGTGACGATCGGCCGTGCCGCGTCAACACCCTGTCTCAGGCTGAAAGGGAGATTGAGCAATCTCCCTTTCAGCCTCAACACCAAAGCGGCATCCTGTGGGCAAGCAGTATGACTATCGGTATATCGATGCTACAATGTCGTGGAACTGGTGCGCGAGCGCTCGCGAGAAGACGCAGTCATCGAGCGAGCGCAGAGCGCAAGGCGTGGGCGACTTCGAAGTCGACGCATGACGCGACGCGCTTGCGATCGACCTCACTCGGGTCGACCGATATTTCGTCGCGACGGATGATCGTTTTGGAGACGTCATCGAGGGTAAAAAGCCACGCGCTCGTGCGCTCGTGCTCGTTCGCGGACGCCGATTCCATCGATGCGAAGAGACGTGCGGCAGCCGCGGAGGCGGCTCTACGCTCGACGAACGCGATGGGGTCTGTGGCAGTGGTAATGGCGTCCTTGGTAGCGCGCGAGAGGCGAGCCTTGGTTCGATCTCCCACCCCCAAACGTCCGTGCGCGTCCGCGGCGAGTATCTCCAGGTACACGCCAAGTGGCGACGCTCGCGTGGAATCGTCAAGCCCGCTCGCACCGCGCTTGCGAGCCAGGCGCACCGTGGTATCACGATCGACGTCGGCGTCGGCACCCTTACCCTCACCGTCACCGCCCTTGTCCTCCACGGCGCCGTCCGCGGCGTCACGCACGCGTTCCCGCCAACCCGCATGTCTCACGCGTCGATGCGTGCACAAACTCGACGCGCTGCCGTACGACTTATCGCATCCATCCACACCGCACACGTGCGTTCGTTCGTGCGCGCCAAGCAATCGCCGCCCGCGCCTTGAGCTCGTGCCCAAACCAGGCGTCACGCGCTCGGCGAACCGCTCCAGCGTCGCCTCGCTCGCGCTCACATCTCTAAGATGCGCCGCCGCCGCGTCAAACGCCTCGGCCAATGACCCTCGAGTATTATTCGCGAACGTCTCCGATCCAAGTCGACCGCGCGTCGCCGCAGTCGTCGCGCCGCCTCTCGCCCGCGCGCGTTCGAACGCCGTCGTCTCAGACGATCCCCCGAGTCTCGATCGACCCGTCGTCGACCCGCCCGTGCGTCGCCCGCGCGACTCTTTCGTCACCGCGGGCGTTCTGGGATCCATCGTCCGCGCGCTCGAGCGCTCGCTCGCGTCGACGCTCGACGATGTTTTCATCTCGGTCGCGCGTGCGCGAGTATTCAAACCGTCGGGACTTCGTCGTCGTCTCGCGCCGTCGCGAGCGTTCGCGCGGGCGCGCAGAGCGAACATGGCGGCGACGGCATCGTTCGCGCCGTCGTCCGTCGGCATCGCCGACGCCTCGCGCGCGTTCACCGTCGACGCGACGCGGTGTGCGGGCGTCCGCCTGTCGCTGTGATCGAAAGGCGCGGTGCCGTTCGATATCCAAGGGTAACGTGCGATTCCACCTTTCGATTCCACCTTTCGATTCCACCTTTCGATCGACGGAGAGTCACCACACGACGACGCGCCGTCGCCGATGCCGACGCTCGTCGTCCTCGCCTGCGCGCGCTCGGGCGCGGCGAAGATCGCGCTCGAGTGCGCCCGGGCGTGCGACGCCGGCGTCGACGGACGCGTGGCGAAGACGCTCCATAAGTACGAAGAGGACGCGAAGTGGCTTGCAGGGAGCAGAGGCGAAGCGACTATTAAGTGCGACGAGATCGCGTCGACGCGGGCGTTGGCGACGGGCGTGATGGCGACAGAGAACACTAGGGACGTTGTGGCGATTCCCGTGCGCTCGGAGGCGTTCGGGAAGGTATGGCGGGCGCTGGAGGCGCGCGGCGTCGCCGCGGAGTGCGCGGCGGCGGCGGAGGCTTGGGACGAGGAGCCGAGAACTGGATCGAAGGTGAACGCGAAAGATTGGGAGCGACGACGCCGTAGGGAAGTGGCGATCGAGTCGTTGGGTGATCCCGGGGATCGAGACAACGTGCCCGCGCTGTCTGAGTGCGAGAAGACGTGGCGCAGACACGGAGGCGGTGGCCAACAAGTTTCGACAAAGACGCACCGAGAGTGTGAGGCGTGGGTTAGGGAGGGGGCGTCTATTTTTTATGATCTACAGGTCAATGGCCCCGTCATAATGAATGGACTTTTGGACGCGTGTTCGGGGAGGTGGACGTTCGAGCGCGTGCGAGAGCTGTGCGATGGCGACGCAGTGGTGGACGTACACGTGTGCCCGCATGACACGGTGGATTTGGCGGGACATCGCGCACCGGGGACGCCGAGAAACTTTGAGTTTCGGAAGATGTCGTTTGGTGAGTTCTTTGATCGCGTTCGCGGCGTCGGCTCGTACGATCCCGTGATCGAGCGAGGCGAAAGGTATTATCTCCGAAGCGTGGACGGAAAGTCGGCAACAGATTTAAGACGAACGCATCCAGCGCTCGCGGCAGAGCTCAGAATCGAAAAATACACACAACACTTGAAGGATGGGAACTTTCACAGTTCGGTGCTTAGGATAAGCTCAGCCGATACGACGCTCTGGACGCATTACGACACACACGATAACTTGCTTGTGCAGGTGATTGGCTCGAAGACGGTGACGCTGTTTCCTCCCGAGGCGGACCAGTTCATGTACGTCGAGGGCTCGAGTTCGCGCGTATTTAACGTCAGAAATGAGCCGAGTGAAGAAGATCGGCGAACATTCCCTCTCTTCTACGCGCACGCGCAATCGATGGGGACGACGGTTTCGCTCCAGCAGGGTGATGCGCTCTGGATCCCGGCGTATTGGTTTCATCACGTCGTCTCGGACTGCGGTGAAGCACCTTCTGTGGCGGTGAACACATTTTGGCGTAGTACCGCTCTTGCTACATTTGGAGAGTACGACGCCAAGGATATTTATGGCAACAAGGAATTGAACTCGGGAAAAGAAGCGTGTGATTTGGCACTTCGCGCGGGCGAAGCGCTTCGTCATTTGCCCTTTCGGATAAAGTGTTTTTACGCGCGACGCGCCATCAAGTTGCTCGCGAATCAAACGTCCAGTCGCATCACCTCCGAGTGGTAGTTACATAGGTGTGCAACGTACCCGGTACCGGTAGCCATGTAAATTAGTCAGATTGTTAGCGGATCGTATCGTTACAAAAAGCTGGTCACCATCGTTTCAACAGCATTACAATCATCTTCGGTGGCGAACAACCGGAGAGAGAACCATAGCGAACTCGCGCATGGTCCCAGAGACGCGTCTTGACGCGCTTCGTACGATGTTCTCGAAGGCGGCAATCTCCTTGACATGCGTCTCACGGAACATCCGCATCGCGACCAACGCGAGAAAGGAGAGACTGAGACGCGCTTTGAGATTGACCACGCGAAAGGTCGCGCCGCCCACAATCAAACCGCCTATCCATCGCTTCGGTGCGCTTAAAGAGTTGAACCAAGACGACACGAAGACGTACGTGTTGGCGTAGATGTTGGTGAGCGGGTATCTGTACGCGTCGAAGAACGGCGGCACGACGAACGCGCCGACCCAGAGCGTCGTAATCACGGCCCAAGCCGACATGATGTGCCCGAGAGAACTGACGGCGTAGAGCGCTAGAAACGTGCGAAACACCGCGCGATTATCCGTACCTGCGAGCACGCCTCTGTGCTTAAGCGCCCACGCGTTGAAGGACGTCGCCAACCGTTGTGCCGCGTCGCCAACCGCGCGCTCGTTCAACTCCAATCCGTACGAGAATCGAGGGAACATCACCGCCCACACGTGTTTATACGCCAAGTACGTCATCGCGGCGTACGCGGCGAGGCTCACCCCGCTCACCGTCGACCGCGGGACGAGACGCGCGCACAAGAGCGCGGTCATTCCGAGCGCAAAGTGTATCGCCGAGCGCGCCGCGTCGCGCCACAGCAGCACCTCCATAACCGCCCCTCGCGCACCGTTCGCATCTTTCCCGGCGTAATATTCTCCTCCGTCGCGATCCGTCGTCGACGCGGCGCGTTCGAATCGTCTTTCGACCCCCCGTGCGTACGGCGTCAGCGCCCGTCTGCGATCAAACTCCTCCGTCCCTCGCGCGTTCCCGTCGCTCTCTCCCGGCGTGTACGCGTCCGTGCGTCGCGCGCTTCCGAACGCGTCGAGCGCGTCCACCCGTCGCCGCAGCGCCGCGGGCGTTCGGACGAAATCATTCGACATCGCATCGCGTCTCGGGAGCTCGATCGTCGACCGCGTGTCGTCGAGCTCGGCGAACGGCTTGGAGAACGTCCGCGCGCGCTCGTCCGAGCGATTCGAGGCGTCGCTCAGCGCCGCGCGCGGGCGAACGAGCGTCTCGAACATCGCCAGGCGCGATGTGCCGGCGCGACGGTTTGGTTCCCCTTTCCTGGAGTCCCTCCGTCGACGGGTCGTGACTCGTCATGTGCGACACCCACGCGCGCGGCGCCCGACGGCGCGCGCGACGCCGCGCGACACCGCGCGCGACGTCCACGCGCGCGATGTCGCGCGCGTTCGACCTCGGCGCCCTCGCGCGGGCGCTGCCGAGGAAGACGAGCGCGTGCGTGAACCTCCTGCTCGCGGTGGCGAACATGCGGGAGAACGATCTCGAGACGTACGCGAAGAACGTGGACGCGGCGATCGAGGCGTACGGCGATCGAGCGATCGTCTCGATGAAGTTTAACACCCTGCGCGGACGGGGGTTGACGCTGCTCACGGAGGCGGTGAGATGTCGAAAGGTTGAATTCGTGAGGTTGTTGTTGACGCGGTACGACGCCGACCCGACGACGGCGGCGCTCGCGCGCGATGGGTGCGCGCTCTCGTCGGCGCTGGAGAGTCGAGAGGGGTTTGAAGTGTTGATTAAGGGCGGTGTTGAGGCTTGGCTCGGGGCGGAGTCGCTGGAGGGGTACGTGGAGCGGAAGCGCCCGGATTTGCGCGACGCGTTGCGCGCGAGGCGAGCCGAGCAACTGGCGGATGTCAGAGGACGGCGATTAATGGAGGTTGAGGAGAAGAGCGTTTCGATCTCGCGTGAAGAGTCGGTATCGCAGAGTACGATACCGTACGACGCGCACGTCGCGACGACTGAGGTTGCGCTGCCGCTGACGAGCGAAGAAACTGGAAACTCGGAGACCACCTCGACGAGAGGCGACGAGGCGGAGGCGACGAGTAGTGCGCGAAAAGAAGAAGTGACGCTCGCGGAAATTCGACGCATCAAAGAGAGTCTTGCCGAGATGGAATTGAGAATTCTTCAAATCGAGCGAGAGGAAATGAATGCGCACGAGCTCCGGCGCATCGAAGGAGAGCTCGTAGCGTTGATCGACGAGCTAGATGCCCTCTTCGAAGGACAACAGGCTCCCAAAATCGTAAGCACGTATCGGCGCGGAGCGATCCAATCAATCCTACAATTGCTTGAACAAGTTGACAAATTGTTCAGGGTTGTAGGCGGAGACGAAGCGCCAGACGAAGCGCGGGATACGGAATCGTCGTCGACGCGGGATACGGATTCGTCGGCGGAATATAAATAACATGTAATGTACTGGCAGATCGTACCGTATTCAATGCTGCTACCGTACGGTGCCGTGTTACAGTACTAATCTATTTTCAACGCTATGCCACGTTTTCATCGTCATTCGACTCTAAATTCGGCTCTGGACGTCGGCTCGAACGCGTCAACTCTGCTCCGAGCGCACCTAGTAAGTTGAACACGCTCGAGGCGCCTTGTCTAATGAATCCTCCGAGATGATCTGCCGCGTCGATCAATACTTCCTCATCGATCGAGTCGTTTGGAGGGCGTTGCGTGCTCGGACGCGATCGACCGAACGAGACCGTCGCGAGTAACTCTTGTCCTGGCGTAGGTTGAGACGACCACGTCATCCACTGCGGCTGCTCGTTCTCTCGTCGTTCCTGCATCTCGACGTCCACGCGATCGATGAGGTAATCAAGTACATACGTCACGTCTTCTGCGGCGGTATAAACCGGCTCTCGGTCGTCGTGCATGTCGCGAACAGCACGCGCGATTTCCGCGTCGTCGTTCTCGCTCACGCGCGTGCCCATTATCAAGTGCTTCGCCACGTTAGCGCTCTGGCTCTCTCCGGGGTCTCTGGCGCGCGGCGTCCCGGTGGCAAGGCCGCGCATTAACGACGCCGCCATTCTCACGGCGAGCACAGCCTTACCCGCCACGTTTTCAATCTGCAGACTCATCCGCGCCCCGTATCGCGCCCACGTCGCGAAGTGCTCGCAGTTATTCGACCGAACGCAGTACCCGCCGTAGCGCCCCTCGTAAAACCCCTGATCCACCGCCAATCGACAGCGATCCATGATCTCACCAATTCGCAACGGCGCCCGCTCCGCGTCGTACTTTGCGTTCCCACATCTCGGATCGACGCCGACGTCCTCCAGCGGCGTCAGCACGCACGCCGCGTTCTCGTCCATGTCCCGATTCACTCCATCCTCGCTCCCCTCGGGCGCCCCCCAGAGATGCACCACGCACTCCACGCACATCTCGTGCGAATCCCCCGCGCGCGTCCATCGCCACGTCCCCAAACGTTCGTCCCACACCCCGACGCGCCCGACGTAGACCGCCCAGTGCGTGAACGCCGCGTCGAAAAACTCCTGCGCCCGTCGATGCCAAAAGATGACGTCCCCCGGACGACGACCGCGCCCCGGACGCGGCCACGCGTAGCCGTGCCTGGACCCGATCGGCGTCGCGTACAGACGCGCGCGTGAGCTCGAGGATGATTCCGCACCGCACGAACGAATCGACGAATCTTCGCTCGAGAGCGACCCCGTGGACGCGCCGTCGGCTCGATGATCGCGCGTGTCTCCGCGCGACATCGTTCGGCGTCGATGCCGCGCTCGAGATGGCGCGCGCGCGCGTCGCGCGACGCGCACTGCGGTAGCTTTGTGCGAATGAAATCTTCTTTCCCAACACTGCGCGGCGCACGCGCGCGAGCGATGGCGTCCGACGGCGCCACGCCCGCGGAGGCGTCGCAGCGCGCCAAGGGGGAGCTGTCGTACCACTACTGGCACGGGAAGAACGCGGGGGAGGCGCCGAAGGCGGAGGCGAAGGTGCGAAGAGAAACTTCTTTACGCGGACATCGACGCGCGTGGACGATCGCGCGCGCGTAAACGGAGGACTGACGCGGCGTAAACGCTGTTAATACGCGAAGCGCATCACGTCGGAGGAGGCGGAGGCGCTGTCGAGACAGGTGTCGTCGACGCAGATCAGCGCGTGGAACGCGGCGGGGACGTGGGAAGAACGCGGACACACTATTTGGGCCAAGGCTCGAATTGAGGAGCTGGTGACGGAGAACGGGACGTTCGAACTCGTGGGTGGAAATGGGATCGATGCCGATGCGCGAGTGAGGATCGTCGGGGTGAAATCGTGCGAGGGCGACGCGAGCGTGGTTATGATTCGAGGCAAGCCGAGACGCGGGTTCGATTTCGAGTTGACGCTGAATTGGGAGGCCGCGTTCGCGAGCGGTGGCGGTGATGATGAACAAGAGGTGATCATCAAGGGCACGGTTCACGTACCAGAGTTCTCGAGGGACGGCGTCGAGGATGAGGAGTGCGCGTGCGAGGTCAAGGTGAGCGACCGAAACAGCGAGCACGCGCCGCGAGAGAATGCGTGTGTGGCGACTTTGAAGAAGCGATGCGAGGACTTCCTCGTCAGGACGCTCATGACGATCGATAGCGAGCTCGAAGAGCGCGCCTCGAAGTGATTATAGCGCGCTCGATCAAGACGATTACTTTTATTCTTTTTCTTTCGCAACGCGTTTCAGCTCAATGTGAATGAGAGTCGAAAGATATTCAAACAAAGATTCTGTCTTGGATATTACTCGCCGCTTCGCCAATTTATCGCCCACGCTCGAGCAAGAGCTCGGCCGACTTGAACTCGTCGAACACGCGGTCTCTTCTCTTCGCCGGGAACGGATACTTGGTGCCAAAGTTGTTGAAGTGACCGCTCACGGCGTTCAACGCACTGTACACTTGACCGTACGACGGCTTACCCGTCGTCGCGTTGTCCCGTCGATACTTCGCCACCCACGCATTCGTCATTGTGCGCGTCTTGTTGATGGACTCCTCCCGTCCCTCGGTGCCGGGCGCCATCTCCAACGTGGCCTTTACCTGCTCGATGATCGCCTTCGTGTCCGTGGAGTAAGCAGCCTCTTTACTTTCACCGAATCCGAGGAACGCGCGCGCCTGCGTTATGAAAGAAGATCCACAAAGATACGCGTCGTCAGTTAATGTCTTCTCGACCGCGAGCGTGCGAAAGGTTTTGTCGCAGCGCGCGCGCTCCAGCGTCTTCGCAGATAGAATCAGCTCGATCGACGCCTTTACCGACGTGCTCAACGAGAAATCGCTCCCTCTCGCTTCGCGTATCGCTTCATAACTAAGTCAACGCACCTCTCTCGGCGCCGAGACGCCGAGCGTCGCCGCGGCGAGCGCGAACGAGCGGACGAACTGTCGGCGATCGAGCGTGACGTCACCGGACGTCGCTCGCGCGCTCGCGACGACGACGGAGGTCGCGCGAGAGCGCTTGGCGGGCGCGACACGGGTGCGGGCGGCGTCACGGACGCACGCGGGGGCGGCAGAGATGGCGAACATGGTCGGTATCGCGCGCGAGGGGCGATGTGAGGCGCGAGTGGGAACATGAGAACCCTTAACCACCGAGGGAGCGTGGACGGGCGAGGAGGATGTTTAGTGCGTTTGCGAAGCGCTCGACCAGTGGAGACGCGTTGAGTCGAAGATGATGAATTTGAATCGAGCCAATGGCTAGTTTTTCTAGTGTCGAGAGACGTTCGCGGTGGCTAGGATGGGCAACGTGTCTCGGAAATAATCCGCCTTGGACATGTGCACGAGCCTCGATTTCGCTCGAGGCGCAGCGGCGGCGGTGAAGTTACTCGCGGAGGCGTCTGCGAGTGATGCACCTATGCGTCCAGTGGCGCTCCATTCAGTATTGTTCGCGAGAACGGTGGTGGATCGACCGGAGGATCCGCCTTTGGAGCTCACCGAGAGTTCGGCGGCGAAATTGCTCTCGACACGTGTGCGCTCGCGTGTCGACAGATCCGGCACTCGAAACGAGGAAGTTTCGTACTCGTTGAAGAGTTCATCCGGTACCGTCGCGAGATTTGCGATGAACACAACGCGACGCTCGTACAAGACGTCGATCAGGTTGATGAAGCGGCGAGCGGCGTTCTCCTGACTCGACATCGGCAATCGAGGCACATTTTGGACACAAATCATCGCAAACTTCTCCGCGAGTGCGATGTAATCGCTCGGCGCCGCGCGAGACTGTCGTCCACAGATATCATCGAACGTGAACCACGCCGCGCGATCACCGATACGGCGTTTCGCACGAATCGTCCTACCGGCGGCGACACGGATGTCCAGCTCGTCCGACACGGAGTCGCCGGACGTCGACGCCTCAAATCTCGCCCACGTGCGCTCCAATCGCGCGCGCGCGTCGTTGTCGTTCCCCACAACGACCGTGTCCGCAACTTCCGGCGCCGTGACGCCGTTCAGGCGTCTGTAATCCACCGCCTCACACTCAGCATCCAAATCGACAACCTCGCAGCGCTCTCGCAACGTCTCCACGAACGACGCGAAATTCGCTCGATTAATCCCCCCGGCGTACAACCGCTCAGGTGCAAAGTTTGACGTCCCTATCATCCGCCCACCGCTCGCGAAGTATCCCTCCATTACGCGCTTAAATACCATCGCGTCCGCGACGTCTGAAATCTCCACCTCGTCCACCAAAATCACCCCATCGCTCTCTTTCGCCAACCGTGCGCCGAACGCGGCGAAGCCATCGCTCGAGTAACCCTCTCGGGACGTACCCGCGTGCGCGTGCGCCATGAGCGCGTGGAAATGCCACGATTTCGCTCGTTTTTCTCGTCCGAGCGTCTGGAGCGCGCAGCCCGCGAGCGCTGTCTTTCCGCGTCCCGCGGCGCCGTGTAGGTACACCCCGCGCCCATCCGCGGGATCACTCGTCAGCGCCCTGACGAGCGCATCGATCGCGCGCGTTTGCCCCGCGTCGACGCGGCCGAAGCGCTCGAGCACCGCCCGTCGCATCGCGCCGCGTCATCCAAAGGCGCGTGCGCGACCGGTGATTCGAAAGGCGCGCCTTTGACATTCAATGGTGATTTCACGCCTTACCTTTGGAATGAAAAACTGGAGACAAGATTGAATCGTTCATCCGAGCGTGCGATCGATCGCGTCACACGGCGTCGCCGCGCGCGCACGCATCGCGCGCACGCACCGAATGGAGGGGTACGACGGGAATCAAGCGTATGGCGCCCACGCGGCGCCCCAGGCCGTGGACTGGGGCGCCCTGGAGGCTCGAGACGGCGCGCGTTTCTCGTGGAACGTTGTCGCGAACAGCCGCGCCGAGATGACGAAGTGCGTCGTCCCGTTCGGTGCCGTCGTCACGCCGAGGAAAGCGATCGCCGAAGACGTCGTGCCAAAGGTACCGTACGAACCGGTGCGGTGTAAGGGGTGCGGGGGGGCGCTGAATCCGTACGCTAGGGTGGATTTCGCGTCTAAGATCTGGGTGTGTCCGTTGTGTCACGCGCGGAACCATTTTCCACCGCATTACGGTGGATTGTCCGAGACGAACCTGCCGGCGGAGTTGTTCCCGAGTTACACGACGATTGAGTACGCGATGCCGTCGAGGGCGAGCGGTGTGGCGAGCGGGAGCGGGTACCTATTTGTCGTGGACGCGTGCGTGGAGGAGGACGAGCTCAGAGCGGTGAAGCAGGCGGTGACGCAAGCTTTGAGTCTGATGCCGGAAGACGCCAGGGTGGGGTTGGTGACGTTCGGGACGCACGTGCACGTGCATGAGTTGGGGTTCGAGAGTTGTCCGAAGTCGTACGTGTTTCGAGGGAATAAGGAGTTTACGACGCAGCAGGTTAAGGATCAGTTGGCGCTCGGCGGTGGACCATTGCGGGCAGTGAACGGGGCGCGTGGGCAACCGGCGCAAGGGCACGTGAATGGGGCGATGCCAGCGTCGAGGTTTTTGGTGCCCCTGAGCGAGTGTGAGTTTCAGCTTTCGGCGATTCTCGAGGAGTTGAATCGAGACGCGTTCGCGCCGTTGCCTTCGTGCAGACGCGCTCGGTGCACAGGTACGGCGCTCATGGTGGCCTCGTGTCTGCTCGCGACTGGTGCGATCGGTCAGAGCGCGCGGGCAATGCTGTTCACCGGCGGCGCCGCGACCGAGGGCGGCGGTACCATCGTGGCGAAGGACATGGAGCAGGCGGTGCGATCTCACAAGGACATAGTCAAGGGCGCGGCGCCATTTTACGCAAAGGCGAAAAAGTATTACGAGCAGGTGGCCGTCAACTTGTGCGCGAACGGTCACGTCCTGGATGTATTCGCATGCGCGCTCGACCAGGTTGGATTAGCCGAGATGAAGGTATGCGTCGAGAAGACGGGCGGGAACGTCGTATTAGCGGAGTCGTTCTCGCACACCGTCTTCAAGACGTCCTTCTTGAAACTGTTCGCCCCAGATACGGAAGGCGGGCTCGGAATTGCGTATAACGGCCAGTTCGAGGTGGTGACCAGTCGCGACGTCAAGACCTCGGGCGTGATCGGGCCTTGCGCGGCGTTGGATAGGAAAGGCTTGCCGGGCGCGGTGAGTGACTCGCCGATCGGCAGCGGCGGCACGACAGCATGGAAGATGTGCACGCTAACGAACGAGACCTCGCTCGCGGTGTACTTCGAGGTCGCGAACCCGGGTGGAAAGGATCAGCAATCGATGGCGATGCAGGGTCAGCACGCACAACAGTTCTTCGTGCAGTTCCTTTGCACCTTCACGCTTCCAAACGGCGAGTCGAGAATGCGTGTCATCACAACGAGTCGACGATGGACCGACGGTCAGAACTTAAACGACATCGCGGCTGGATTCGATCAAGAAGCCGCGGCCGTTCTCGTGGCTCGACAGCTATCGTGGAAGATGGAGACGGAAGAGGAGACGGATTGTCCGGCGGCCACGCGCTGGCTCGATCGCAAGCTCATCGCGCTCTGCCAGCGCTTTGGCAACTACAGAAAGGATGATCCACATTCTTTCCAGCTTATGCCGCAGTTTAGCATATATCCTCAGTTCATGTTCAACTTGCGGCGGTCACAGTTTGTCCAAGTTTTCAATAACTCGCCGGATGAGACTGCGTATTTCCGAATGATCTTACAGCGTGAAAATGTCTACAACTCGCTGGTGATGATTCAGCCCACGCTGACGTCGTACAGCTTCAACGGCCCACCAGAGCCGGTTTTGTTAGATGTTTGTTCGATCGCTGCGGATCGAATCTTGGTGCTCGATGCTTACTTTACTGTCGTCGTGTTTCACGGGATGACTATCGCGCAGTGGAGAAAGGCAAACTATCAAGACCAACCAGAGCACGTGGCGTTCAAGGAGCTGCTTGCCGCGCCCAGGGTAGAGGCGGATCAGATACTCGCCAGTAGATTTCCTGTACCGCGATTGATCGATTGCGATCAACACGGTTCGCAGGCGCGGTTCTTGCTGGCGAAGCTGAATCCGAGCGCAACGTACAATAGCAGCGCGTCAATGGGTGGCGGATCGGATATCATTTTCACAGATGACGTGTCCTTGCAAGTGTTCCTTGACCACCTTAAGCGCTTAGCGGTGGCAGACAACTGAGAACGAATTAGCATTTTCTAAATATCAAAACGTTGGCTATAGCTACATTTCTCATAGTCCAAATCGTCTACCGGGAGTCTTCCCACCTGGGCCGCGCCGAACGCTTGAACCCGGCCGCAACGAAGAGCTTCCAGAGTTCACGCTCGGCGTTCCAGCGGACGATCTCATCCCGGGTGTCACAATTTGGCTTCGTTGTTTCGCTCGCAAATGCTCCTCGCGCACGCGACCAGCGGCTTCCAGCTCTTCCTCCGCGTCGCGTTTGGCTTGCATTTCAGCCTCCATTCGAGCCTTGTCCTCTTTTCGCTTTGCCTTCGATTTCAGCATGCTCGAATGGCTCTCCTTGAGAGTGAAAAACATCGGACCGAACTCAGCGAGCCAGCTTGGCTCGACGGCCGTAACACACTGCATATACTCCTTCGAAGTCATGATGAGTTCGTGATATACGACGTAATCGGGCGTGTATCCCAATCCGTACAACGCCGAGCTCGGGTGAAGATGACAAGGCATTCCGTTTCGAGCATTCACGTACTCACCAATGCCTTTGAGACGTGCCGCTTGGGGGAAGTAAGCTGCCGCGATCGATCTCCTACAGACGTCCCAATCCTGTCCGCAACTCACGAGCTCTATCTTCTGCGACTTCATGATGTCCGCGAGCTGCGCTCGAACCTCTCGACCCTTCTTAAGGCCTTTACCCTGAATGAAATGCTTGTTACACCACTCGTTCCTGTAATTGTTGTTTTTCCACTGGGTGTAGACGTTGAGCATGGTCAAGTGATCGCTCTCCGGGACAAAGAATTTTTCGCGAACGGCATCGGCTTCCTCCTCGCGATCCTTCGGTCGATACCAAACAGAGGGCACGGAGAGCATCGATACCACGGTGAGCATTTCATTCGAGCACCCAGCTTCTTCGGCCTTGATGAGCATCTGTGCCAACGGCGGATCGACCGGGAACTCGACCATCTTCAAACCCAGCTTCGTGAGTCCACCTGTGTTGTCCAACGCGCCCAAGATCCACAGTGAATACATACTGTTTAAGATGTTCTCCTGCGGAGGCGGATCCATGAAATCAAAATCGAGAAGATTTTCAACATTCAGCGACTTCAACAGTAAAACAACGTTGCCGAGGTTGGTGCGCTGAATTTCTGGCACGACGGAGAGGAGCATTTCGTGTTTGTACGCTGACTCCGTATACAGACGATAGCACGTACCCGGCCCCGTACGACCGGCGCGACCTGCTCTCTGATTGACCGCGGCCTGCGCGCACGGGAACACTTGCAGGGCATTCATACCCATGCGTGGATTAAACACGGAGAGCTTGCAATAACCGCTGTCAATGACGTACATGACGCCGTCGAGCGTCAGAGATGTCTCGGCAATATTCGTACTGACGACGCATTTTCGATTCCCGTCCTCTGCATCCTGAAAAATTTTAGCCTGCAAATCACTCGGAAGTTGCGAGTATATCGGCAGAACGTTCAATGGTGGACACGTTCCTTCGCTCATGAGCTGAGCAACGCGTTCCTCAAGCGAGTAAGTCACCGCTTCAATTTCTTCTTGACCAGTCATAAAGATCAAAATGTCTCCCGGTCCGGAGGAGAGGTGCACAGAAAGCGCTTGTTTCACCGCGGCCTCGGCGTAGTCTTCGACGACAGTCTTGGAATACATGATTTCCACCGGAAACGTCCGCCCGGGAATGTGGAAAATTGGCACAGATCCAAAGAAGTTGCTGAACTTTTCAGAATTCAACGTCGCAGATGTGACGATGAGTTTGAAATCTCGGCGACGAGCAACAATCTTTTTCAGAATACCGAAGAGAACATCAGTGTTGAGCGAACGTTCGTGCGCTTCATCCATAATGATACAGCTGTACATATCCAAATCCGGCTCGCGGAGAGTCTCGCGTAAGAGGACGCCGTCCGTCATGTACTTGATTATCGTGTCCGGCCCGGTGCAATCTTCGAAACGAATGGCATAACCAACCTCTTTACCAAGTTCACATCCCATCTCTTCGCTGACGCGCTTTGCGACGCTCATCGCTGCCACTCGACGAGGTTGCGTGCAACCTACCATGCCAAAGGTGGAATATCCCTCCTCATGCATATACTGTGTCATTTGCGTTGTCTTACCGCTCCCCGTCTCTCCGACAACGACAACAATTTGGTTTTCGCGTATGACGTGCATCAAGTCCTCTCGGCAGCCAAACACGGGCAAAAACTCACGCTGTTCTTTTAACGTCTTCGTTTTCGCGAACTCGCTTTGGGCCGAGCTCTTCGAAGTCTTCATGTGTTCTGCGAACTTGGCGCCAGCCTTGAAGTCGATTTCGCCATCGGCTCCGATGACGTCTGGCCTGTCCTCGTCTCGATCTTTCACCGCAGCGGCGTTCTCGGCGGCCTCTTTGTTCTCAGCTTCAGTCGTGCCAGTGATTGATCCCATTTTCGATCCTTTCATTTCCCAGAATCTGTCGCGACCCTTGTTCTCCTCGCGTTTCTGGCGGACTTCCTTGACCAAGGCGCTGCCCTTGCGCGCGATTTGTGCCATGTCGCTCGTCAAGTCTTTCACAGGCAAAACCGTCTCCTGTTGCTTGGTGAACACCACACGACCATCTAGGAATGGAGGTTTCGTGTCATGAACGAGAAGCACCGCTCGGTTCTCCTCGATGTCGTCAAAATCGAGATCGATCTCCTTGGCGCGAATGACGCCGGAGGTCATCATACGGTTCTCTTCCCATGTGTTGGAATCGGCGTTGAGCTGGCTTACACGCCGCGACGCCACCATTGACATCTTCGATCCATCGCGTCGAGTCAAGCGTTGGGCGTATTCCTGTTCTTTCTTCGCATATCGCGCCTCATCGCGCGCGCTCGAGTTGAACGGATTGTGCGCGTCTCCGTGTGCGCCGCCACCCTCGTCGTCGTCGTACCACGCTCGATCCAGCACTTTCTCGGCCTCCGTGTCCGGTACGGGCGCGCCCACGTCTTCTTCTGCCACTACCGTGCCCTCAGTGACGAATTTGTTCGCGTTCGCAATCGCGTTTGTTGCCCACGAATTCGACTTCCACGACGGCGTCGCTGCCGGCGTATCCATCTCGAATCTCAATGCGTGCGAGCGCTGACTCGACGTCCCGCTCGCCGCTCCAGTCCTTATTCCGCTTTTTACCGTCGCCGGCGGCGCCGCGACGTCGTCCCACGACCGTTCCCTGTGAAAATTTGGCGTCATCATTCGCCCATCACGTCCGCGACTCGGCGTCTCCTCCCACTCGCCGTCTCTCCCGCCGCTTCGCCAGCCCCCACCGCCGCGCTCGCCGCCTCGCTGATCCTGTCGTTCATCATATCCTCCGATCCCGCGACCGCGCTCGCGTCGCCGTCGATCTATCGACTCTCGCGCCTTTGTATCGACGCCGCCCGGGTGACTCGGCGTCTCCGCCCGCCGCTCCCTAAATCGCCGCTCTTCCCCGAACGCCCGCCCCAGGTGCCCGTGCGACGCCCCCCGATCGTCACCGTGATCATTATCGCCATCTTTGTCATCCCTCGAGCGCTTCTCCGCCCGCTTTCGCGCCGCGAGCGCTTGCAACCCGAGCAAACTTCCTTGGCTCGGACGAGAAGAATTTCCACTCGGCGCGCGATTCTTCGGCGCGCGGAACTCTAACCCTCCCGGGACGTCATCGACGATCGGACCTCGGTCGCACGTCGCGTCGTCGTCGTCGCGCATCGTGCGAAGCGCGGGCGCTGAGCGACGGAGAGTGGCGGAGGTGGACGTGTGTGCAGAGAGCACGCAGCGTGGAATGTGTGTGACATCAGCCGTGGAGCACAGAGAGGGACAATGGCGGTCGTTTCGAAGCGTGAACATCATCGCTGTCGGGCGTGCTCGCGTCTTGCGATCACGGAGGAAATACCGGGGTTATCTAGACCGGTGGTGGCGACGACGGCGGCGGTTGGGCGCATGATTTGGTTCGTCGTGCGCCACGGTTGGTGGATGGATCCGTCGGCGAGGGAGATTGAACTGGCACCGCGATATCGCTCGCGCTTGCGCTGTTCGGGGCAGGCGGGGCCGAATCTTTGGCCGTGTACGCTCCGGAGGCTTTCCCGAGGGCGGTTACGAGGGGCGTTCGGATCGTAAGGCATGAGCGACTTGCGTCCGCGGCAGGAGACATCTCGAGCGGCGCCGAGAACTTTAGATTGGAAGAATGCAGACGTCGTTTCGGCCGTGAACGAAGCTCTGGAGCCGTACGCGTTGGATGCTTTATATCCTGTTTTCGCAACGACGTGTGGAATCGCCACGAGAGCGCCGTTACGGCGCTCAAGTTTCTGCGCGCTTCCCAGGGCGCTGCGGCGCGTAAAATGCAAAGTCAGTCACGACGTGGGCGAGCGGGAGCGTCAACGCGCGCCGCACGAGCACTAGAACAGATTCAGGCTCTTACGAACCATTGCGATGTGGGAATGGTGGACGTTTCCGCGGTCATGCGTCGGAGTCAACGTGTGCAGACGGGCGTCAATCTAAAATTGGAAAGATGTCGAGGTTGACGTTGACGAGAGTGATGGGATAAAGTTCTTACAGATATCTCAACGATAACTTAGGATTACATGTCACGGTGATGAAAATGAGCACGGACACGCCAACGTGTTGCTCTTCTCGAAAAAGCCGTCGTAGCACTTCGAATGAAAATGGTGTTCGAAATGGCTCGCGTCCCACGCGTGCGTCATGCGAACGCGCGCGTCCTCCACGGAGAGACCTCCGACCGGTTTGTCGCACAGTTTGCACGTGACGTGCGGACCCAAAACGTTCTTGCCCAGCGCTTCGTACTTTGTCCTGTACCCGACTGCCGCTTCGTGATTCGCCTGCGTGTGATCCAAATCGTTGTCGTAGATGTCTCCGAGGTGCGCCAAAAGACTGAGCATGAGAACCGCCCCCTGCGGGTCAGTCTCGAACGACTGTTTCACCTCACCCCAGTGCTCTTCGAGCGTCTCGATCGCATCTTTAAACGTCTTCACCGCGTCGTCTTGATACTTGCTCAACGTCTTCGGACGTGAAAGCATGCATCTCTCTCCTCGAAGCGCGCACGCGAGCTCCTTGAGCGCGTACAACTCTTGATTCTCGTGACCTCCAAAGTACCAATTTTCAGAGTACCAGTTTTCTTTCAGCTTCCTCGCGCGACGCTCACCTCGCTTTCGTTTGATCTCGTACGCTCGCGCGAGGCGTAAGATCTCACGCGAAAGCGTCACCGCGGCGTCGATGTCACCCTTCATGCTCATCGTCCAACGCATGCGACGGAACGCCTCGATCTCCAACGGCAAGAGCTTAGCGCTTCGAGCGAGCTCCCGCGCGAATCCGTAGTGTTCCATCGCGGCCTCGACGTTCGCCAAGAGAGAGTTCCCGACGAGCGCGTGGTAATCGCCGACGACCAAGTGCGCGCGCGTTTCGGAAATCGCATCCCCGAGTTCGAGCGCCAACCGCAGCGGAAGACGCGTCATGCGCTCGAACGCCGCCGCATCGACGCTCGAACGCGCCACCGCCGCCTCCGTGACCGAAAACAACCGCCGCACCGAGTTCGCCTCGATCTCCGCCGCGATGAGCGTCGCCTCGCACTCCAAGTGCGCGTCCCGAGCCTCTCGCGCGGCGTCCGCGACGCCTCGAAACCGCGCCGCCGCGCGCTCCCACCCCATACCAAAGTCCCATCGCGCGAGCGCCTCCATCGCCGCCGCGTACGCCCCGCGCGCGCTCGACGCCCCCCCGTCGCCGCGCCCCCGCGCGGGGTTCCGTTCGACGTCGTCGGTCGTCCCACGCGCGCGCCCGTCGCCGCGCGCGTCCGCGCCGAGCGCCATGCGCGCCCGCGACGTCGTCGTCGCCCCCGTCGCGGGCGCCCAGAGCGCGCGCGGGGCGGAGACGCGCGCGGGCGTCGCGCGGGCGTCGCGCGGTGGCGCGCGACGCGGCGGTCGCGTCGAGCGTTTTGATTCGTCCACGCGGGAGATCTCCCGTCCGCGCCACAGATCTCCCGTCGGCGCCACGCGCGGTGGCGTCGGTGGGAGATCTGACGTGGACGCGCGCGCGACGTTTTCATTGGTGCGCGCGGTGGGAGATCTGACGTGGACGCGCGCATCGTGATGTGATTCGTGCGCGCGGTGGGAGATCTGACGTGGACGCGCGCATCGCGGTGTGATTGGTGCGCGCGATGGGAGATCTGACGTGGACGCGCGCATCGTCGTGTGATTGGTGCGCGCGGTGGGAGATCTGACGTGGACGCGCGCGCGACGTTTTCATTGGAGCACGGCGCGCGGGAGATCGCCCACGACGGGCGACCGCGCGCGCGAGGGCGCGACGACGCGCGAGGCGATGGCGCGCGCGCGCGAGGGGGCGCGGACGCGCGCGCGCGACCG